AATTATAAAAGTTGATGCATCTACCAAGAAACGACTTTCTGGTTTTAGCCAATCTAAATCTCAGTACTTCCAAAGTGTCACCACGGCCCCGACGCGATGTGGATTATTTTTTCGTAAACAGGTGGATATTATTACGTACATACATGACGTTCTCAAGTATGTTAAGCGACGGGAGCGTTAAAACGTTTATTTGCTTTATTAAATATATGCCGTAATCACTCACGTTGACCCAAGCCATAGACAGCCCGTATAGCCTGCTTTTGTAATACAAATATTGGAACCGGATGCGGAACTCCAAAGTAACACACCATAGGACATTATGCTGTGAAAATAAGCATAATAAACTAATTTAGCTGTTTCCTCGTTAGTTAGCTGCCTGATTTTTCGTATGGCAAAGACGATAGCGCTCAATCTGCATCCCATCCCCCCATCGCAAAAACATCCCTCACGATGTTTTCCTTCACCGTTGAGCACACGATAAGTCAACACTTAAAATTGGAACTAATAATTTCATTTCTCGAGTTGCTCCAGTATATTGAATTATAAGCGAGAATAAATAATTTGTAGGAATATAATTAATCGGTGTGAGAACTTAACTATATTGTAGTTAAGTTCTCACACCAAGGCAAAGAGGTGCTTTGATCCAGAACGCTTCGCCACAACACTTACTGTGGGAGTAAGACATACGTAATAACCAACATTAGTTAATAGATACTTCAGATAAAAGCAACACTGCCATTTTAAGGGGTCGAGGAATAAGACATGTTATTAAAACCCAACATGAACCAATATCAATAAATAGATACTTTAATTAGAAACAACGATGCTACTTTAAAGAGTTGTCATGTATCTAAAGTAAATTTTGGGAAAACACACAGAGGTATAACACAAAAATATGTAGTATGCTCCATATTTATAGCTGTAACGCCCGGTTTCTGAAACACTATTCATCATTGAAATTAACTAATCAGCTGTCAAATGGTTTCTCAAATGTCATTTGAGTTGCCAAAAGGATGGTTTAAAGTTGATCAGAACGAACAGAGTAATCAATTCAATGAATTAAAATATGTATAACATGACTATGTGACCGTTTATAGGGGTTTAGTTTACGTGGGTAACGGTGAATGTGAAGTACGTGATTTTCAAATTGTTGAAGTTATACTTCTTTTGGCGTTTTTGGAAAAAAATTATGAAAGTAAAAGTTTTACGATGCGCGCGCACACCGACAGGGACACGATGTAGTTGATTGGAAAGCGACCAAATTCGACCAACTTCACTTTACCATGGCAACCAATAATTACTTTTTACCCGACTGCGCCAGAAGGAGGGAAATGTTTTTCGAGATTATGTATGTACCTATGTATAATTGTTTGGCACGCTCTGCAGCTTGAGCGGCTTGATGGATTTTAGCTTGGGTCGTTAGATTCGTATTTACTGTGAGTGACACTGGGTACACAAAATAAAAAATTACACAGGAACGCAGTTGGGTTTTTCAGTTTTTTCAATTCTGTTCCCCTTGTTGACACGTTTACCTATAATTCCAATATATTTAATTAAAATGTTATCAATTGATTTTAATGTCTTATTCACAAACGAAGAGGACTGGCAAAGGGGATAAAATATTTAGTTATTTTTCTTCTGATATGCTAAAGAACTTTAACTTCTTATGTGTGTACATGTACACGCAAGTTTTTTTTATTATTATGATAGTTTTGCGGTCCGGCTATCTACTTTACTTACTAAGATCAGCCTCATGGCAAAATTAGGATAAAATTCAAAAACTGATTCTGGGAACTTACTAAGGGTGCTAAAACATTTTTAAGTAAACGCTCTTTTGGAATGTTAATTTTTGTTTATATTTCTTCTGATTCTATTACTTCCTTCCGCGCCTTCCAAGTTCAAGAACTTCCCGACGTGCTTGTGATTATGATCTGAATATATCCGGACTCTAATCGCTTGATAAGTGAAGTCCTACTTGACGTGACTCCTTCAACGGAGAGGAGGAACTAAATTTTGTACCTGCATCATCACTATCATCTCCAAGATGTTCACTTCAACCATACTTTTCCCTGACACCAAACTGATGAACGGGACGATCTTGTTTTGCTGATAAAATGATTTTAGCCTGTGCTTGAAAACTATTTAAAACAGTTTCCCACGACAGTACTGCAAATAAGCTTATAGGTCTGCATGAAGTTGTTACAGTTGATGTTCTTTCAGGTTTCGAGACCATTTACACTTATATATGCATATATTTTATATTATAAGTTGAGGATCTCACCTCAACTTATTATATAAGATAAATGCATATTATAAAAGTATTATTTAAACAGTAATAAACCTTCTCTTCTTTTCCTGTTTGTGTATACAACTCAAAAAAGTAGCAGACGGATTGACTAGAAGTTTTTTCACAACTTCACTATTGAACAGGAGAGTGTTTCATATACTTTCTATTGCAAAGTTTCAAACGGAAACGAAAAAAAAGCCACAGGGAAGCGTTGTCGGGTTGAGATAGTTTGGTATACAATTTTTTTTTTTAGACCCTGGTATAGGAAATTAAATGTATTTAATGCAAAAGATGCGGTGAAGTTCATAGTTAAAATGCAGAACGTTATCCCTGGATTTATAAGGAATTGCGTGAGAGGGAATGTTTCGATTTACTTCGTTGCCATTTACGTCTTGCTATTTCAAAATCATAATTCGCTGTTAGTATAACTAGTACCTTCACATCCCTGGTAACCATCAGATGGGATGGTAGTCGAGGGTCAGCCGGTTTTTAATTAAATAAAACGCTCTACTGACATGACGCTTGGCGACGATTTCCGCCACATATTTGCACAAGAAACATATGAGTAGTGAATCGCGGGGGCGGGCGGAAATCGCTCTGAAAGCTGTTTATTAATTCTAATTAGATCGAGAGCACGGCGTCCTTTGAATTTATTAATGCATCGGTGATGCGTGCTAATCGATGTCCTACATCGATTAGCACGAAAATAAGGAGAAAAAATATTTGCAATACAAACGGAACATTGTATTATAAAATTGGTTCCGTGACGTTAAGTAAAACAACTGAACGTTGAGACATTTCATCGTGTACATCGTTTTAATAATAATAACATATTCTAGCATTTTAAATTATCCGTGGTGTAATATCAGGAACATTAGGTTTTCTGCGCAAAAACGATATCAAGGACACGTAGAGTTTCTTCAGTTTCAAATCTGCTGACGGTACCCACGCGCTTAAGTGATGCGAAGATATAGATACCGTTTATGCTAATAGCTGCTAGCATTCTCCGTAACCGGTTATGTAGAGCAAATGAATATACCAATGAAAAAAAAATGTAATATAGCATTCCTCCTATGCAAAAGAAGAGTTTAAATAATGAATGTATTAAAACAGCTTTGACGGGGATAAATGTACATATATTTTATCGAAATACGTTCATATTATATTTAAAATAAAGATACGTCTTCTCTCGTCTCGTTTAAGCTTCTTAGTTGCGAGGGCAACCGTAATTCCATACCAAATGATGTCTATGTAAAGATGTATATGAATAATTCATACATAATCCTTAATCTATGTACCCCGTTTGATTTCAAATCGCGCCTCAGTTTATTTTATGCTTAACCACTAAGAAGGCGACAGCCGACGGGGTTGTCACCTGTCATGTTCATCTGGAGACAATTCGAGTTCACATAGAAACTCGCGGTGACGTTGTAAACGTTGAAAACTTGGGGAATAAAATGTCATTTGAGATCATTCTCTTACACGCCTTCAAATATTCCCTGGATATGTAGAAAGAGACAGCCAATGCTATGTTTATCTCACATGAGTAGTCGATTTCCATACACGACGAGCCAACCAGTCGCCAAATACCAAGGATAAATTTACAGAGATTTTTGCATGTATGAAACTCGTAAATCACAGACTTATGAATAATTATGAACACTCCAATTTCGATACTAAGAACTTGCAACGCGAATTTAGACCCATCCTCGAAATAAATGAGGGCAGCTAAATTTCCATTTGAAAGCCAAAATATATTTTTTATCAATTCTTTACCAATCAATAAAATAAAATCTCAGTATTTGAAACATTTATGCTAGAGCTGGATAATTTGCTATAATCAAATATTGATAAAGATCATGATGTAAAATATTATTTGATTAGGCCAGCATTTTTATCTAGTTTAATTTTGAAATAAGTGCTTTTTGTATTACAGTAATATTTTATTAATTTTTAATATTTTATTAGTTTTAATTAGGTTAGATTTTCAAGTTTCATTATGAAAATTGTATTCAAATTGTAATTAAATGAATAATATGAATATGATTTAATAATATAAATAGTAATGACAATTTCAAATATCTGATTACCTAACATCATAATATGATGTCATTATTATTCTTATTTAAAATTTAAACTTTATATCCACCTTTCTTACATAGATTTTTCAAATAGACTAAATTTTTGAAAATAAATAACAGTCAAAAAATGGTAATTAAGGAATTTGATAAAACTTAATCCATGAAGTCTGATTCTTAAACATAGAGAAAGATCTTCATTCCATAAGTCCATACTTATACCAAATCGTAAATATATTTAAATATATATACTATTCGGGCCCATTTTGTAAATATGCTCAGCAATTAAGTAGTTAAAATAATCAACTAATGGTTATCATCATCAATAAGAACTCATCAGTTACCGAAACAAATGAATAATAAATGTCAAAATGTAAAAAAAAATTATACATACATATTAAAAGTATATAAAACTACTAAAGCCTCATTTTTATATGTAAAAATACAGGATCTTTTAACTCATCAATATTAGCAAAAGTTAGGTAAACAATAAAATATTAAATTTTCTTGTAGATAAAACATTTGATTCAATCAACTCTCTAAATTGTCCTAACTTTAACATATAAAGCATCTTTCAAAAGATTATTTTTATAGTTATCATTGAGATCTTACTTTAGATCTAATTCTGAACTTACCTTTGGAACTTTTGCATGGACACCAGTTCTGACATCCCGTATGGTAGCTATGTCCAGCATCTCTACCTCCATATTCTGATCAGTCCAGAACAAAAAGAATCCTTTAGGATCCACGCGAAGCGTAACGGGAAGTCCAGCGCCAGAATCCTACAGCATAACATAATTATTAATAAACTATAAAATTATATCATTATCATTAAACTACAAAAAAACGAAATACTTATTTGAAAATTTTAAAAGATTATAAAATATTAAAAATTAATGTTTTTACAATTCTTAAGAAAGTTTGTACACTCACCTCATCCCATTTAATAAATTTTTCTCCCTCTTGCAAAGCCTTCGGTACCTCAATAGGCTTTAAGCTCACGTTAGCCGACTTTATTGCAGTAGACATCGCGAATAATAAACACAATTAAACGGAAATAATAACACAGTTGCAGATAAAAACCGTCATCTTCCTCCCGATGCACAAATCTATCTATGAAATCTATGATCGTAAGTTCAGTAAACGCACAGCATCCAATTTTAGATCAGATAGAATAATATTAGTCTAAGTTAAAATCATCTAAATGAAATCTGAATTCATAACAATACTCCGCCAAAAATCTTTTCTAACTAACAAACAATAATTTATTCCACATAATCTCGACGCGACGGAACTGAACCACCAGAAGTTGAGAAATGTCAAAACCCATTGTGTTCGTTCGAATACTAGCACGTGATAAGAAAATGTGATAAGCAATTAATTGGTGTAGCTGTGGGACAATGAAAGCTAAAGCTTAAAAATTGATTTCGTTTTAGTAGTAATACTTATGTTTTAAATATATATTTAAAAAAAAGATTGCAAAATTTTATCAATTTTCGGCGTAATATCTGACCGAAACGTTTACATGCCAATTAAAAAAATTGTTTAACAATAATTTAGGGGGAATTTTAAAATTACGTACCTACTTTAAATACGCGCTTCATCTATTTATTTTTCATGTATTATTTTTCTATAATGTTATAACAGTATGATTGCTCTTTAATGTTACCCAGTAATAAATTCCTCCAAGATTTCGGTCTTTTGTAATCAATGTTTTTTTCTATATAATTTGTTGTAAAGGAAGCCTCTCAGAAGACAAAATATAGGTACGTCTGGGTGTTTGTCCCAGAAAATTTAAATATGTAAAACGTTAATTAAATAGGCGTTGTGGGACTTAATGCTTTATTCCATTGTGTAGAATTTATTCTTACGATTTTAATGGTGAAAAAAAATAATTTCGAAAAATCTGGAGTTACTATTGTATACCTCTCAGGTTCTCAATAGAATTCTGTATTATATTATACTTCATTTTTTCGTGCCATATGATTTGGAAATTTGATAATTGTAAATAGAAACATTTGACTATCATTGTCGTCGTTCGACAATTGATTTGTCAAATTGTCAATGTCAAAAAGTGCTATAAGGGCGGTAAATGGATAGTTTGTTTTACCTAAACTTAAAAGTTAAAAGTGGTTTTCGTATAATATAGAAGCCTTGTTGATCAAACAAAGAATTATGTCTGAATCAGAAGCTGTAGAAACTGGAGACGGAGAAACAAAGCATGAAAATGTACCCAGAAAGCGGGTCCGACACCGTAAGCGGCAATTGTACGAAAATCTAATAAAACAAATGGAGTTCTATTTTAGCGATGCTAACTTAAGCAAAGATCGTTTTTTAAGTGATTTAGTTAAAAATGATCCGTTTGTACCAATTACTGAATTCTTAAAATTTAATAAAATACGATCAATGACACAAGACGTTAACGATATTGTAAAAGCTCTAACACATTCTACTTTTTTAGAATTGTCTGAAGATAAACTGAAGGTATGTTTTTTCGGTTCCCAATACGTGCAAATATTTCGTCTATTTTGAGTCCCTTCGTGAATTACAAACTTAATTGTATGACAAAACTCTTTTAAGGTTGCATTAATAAATAAAGAGAGTTGAATAAAGAGTTTGTGTAGAGTTTTAAGTAATTATTGTAACCATTAAAACAACAAATAGAAAATAAAATTTTCTATTTGTTGCTAGTGTCTGGCCATTTGAAGATGACATCTACTTTATCATATTAAAATGAGCATCCAACAACTTAGATTATTTTAGCCCAATGCGCTCATATACATTTATTAGGTGTCCACTAATAAAAAATAAATTTAAACATTTGATATTTTCTAGCATATTTGGTGGCAATTTTTTACAACCTAACACACACACACCATATTTCGAGCTCAAACAAACTTAGTTTTCAATAATTTCATTATTGAAAATAAGTAAAAGTAAAATAACAGGCTATATATGTCCTACGGGAAGTCGATGGATGCAGGTGGCTCAGGATCGTACTTCGTGGCAGTCTGTGGGGGAGGCCTATGTTCAGCAGTGGACTCAAACAGGCTGAAATGATGATGATGATGATGATATGTCCTACTGCTGAACAAAGACTTCCTCCATAGGGTATCAGGGCAAAGACATGGGTCCACCATGTCTTAGGAAGTAAGATTTACATGATTCCATTTAAAGATAGTTACAACATGTTTAAAAAGACAATAAGTGTATAACTTAATAATTCTTTTAAGTAAAAGCTATATCCTTACTTAATATTATAAAGGCGAAAGTTTGTATGTATGGATGGATGTTTGTTACTCTTTCATACAAATACTACTGAATTGATGGAGCTTATATATTTGAATAAGACACAGGCTATAATTTATATACATATTTTTATGTATATATGTCGTTCTGTCTGAATGTTACTCCTTCAGCCTTTTCTACGCAGACATGGTCTCGTGCAGCAGCTAGTAGTACTATAAAACTGAAGAAAAAACAATAAGAAAATAAGACAAATATGAAAATCAAAATTTTATAAAAATAACATAAGATTTAATATTGAAGTTATATATAATTTTGGTAGTATTTTTACTTCAAAGTAATAAATAAATTGACAATTTTGTCTCTAAAAATATTTATATTATGGCTTAAAAAATCAAAATGACCAAGATTAAGATTATTGACCAATGTTAGTCACATAATAAATTCAAAATATTTCTTGTTATTATTTCGAAAACATGCAGGATGTTTTCCTTCACCAATGAGCATGTGATAAGTCAGTATTTAAAATTAATAATTTCATTGGTGCTGGCACTGGGGATTGAACTCAGGTTGCTCGAGTATATTGAATTAAAAACAAGGCTTAGACAATGAGCCTATTGCGGTTTTTCAGGGTCTAAAATAAATATTTAATATTATATTCAAAAATTTTCAGGTTAAAAGGAAAACACCTATGTTACCATATGATGCTGATGCAAGGACTGTTTATGTTGAATCCATACCTGTGAAGGCAACTCAAGAATGGTTGGAAAGAGTTTTTTCTGACTATGGACGAGTTGCATACATTTCTTTGCCAAAATTTAAAAACTCACAAAAGTTAAAGGTATTTTATGTAACATATTTATTTCAAACTGAATTATGTTTGACAGTTTTAAATGTGTTACCAAATTTTTGTTGTGTAAGATCATCATCATGAGCTTGCAGTATTAAAATGCCCATAGTTCTCTCCAAATTTAAGTCATTGAGTCAAGCTGCCTTAGCAAATATGGTTTGTTCTTTGTGTTTAATTACTGACTGATTATTGATTATCGACAAATATATTCATACATACATGAAACCCTTATATCACATTGTTTTTAAAATAATTTCAGGGTTTTGGCTTCATAGAATTTGAAAAACCTCAAGAAGCACAAAAATGCATTAATGCTTTTTCCAAAATGGGCTGTAAATTGCCAACCTGTATGCCTCCTGAAGAACTTTCTTCTATAAAAATGTTCTCCATAGAAGATCAGCCGGAAGAACCAAATGAGAGTAAGGATGACAGTGAGCCACCAAAGAAAAAGAGCAAAAAGGCCAAGGACAAAAAGAAAAATCTTGAATTAAAACTTGATCATGATTCCGATTCAGAAAGGAGAGTGGAAACACCTATAGTGAGTCTCTTTTTGATCTTTTGTCATTTGTAGTTAAAACCATACTATGTTTTTATTATTGTCATACACATTTTTAATTTTTTTATTTTTACAGGAAGAAAATAAAAGTATTGTAACACCAACTGAGGTAAATAATTAAAAAAAATATATACCTTTAATTTTTTGATTAAAATAAAGAAATAAGTTCTACATATTTTATTGTTTTTAATTTAAAATATATCACTTACAGGAAGGCAAAACAACAGATGCTGAATCAAAAGACGAAATGACAAGTCAAGATGAATCAAAGAATGAACAGGAGCCAAGACGGAAGAAGAAGGCAAAAAAGCGTAAGAAGAAGAATGGCTCAAAGGACAAGAATAAGCTGCCTAAGTCTGAGGTTCAAAACGGTGGGTTATGGGGCTTGCAAGTGCTTCCAAAGAATGAATGGAAGGCATTGAGAAATAAATATCTGAATTTGCAAAGGAAAAATTTGAAGGAGTTCAAAGCTAGACTGCACAATAAAAAAAATGTGTACTCGGCTATTCCAGCTGCTGCAGCACCAACTTTGGAGGCTGAATCAGGTAACTTTCATGCATACAAAAATAACTAAATCACACTTTATTAGAAAATTATTAGACAGTTGACTAATAATCAATTCATATAGTTTTTTAATATTTATTTCGGGGTAATTAACTACCTCTCTGTTATTAGTATCTATACTCCTTACATTTTTATTATCAAATTTTTGTATCTATATTTTATGATTGTATTCAACATGTATTCAACACAAAATAACTTTCCATACATACCAACAATACTAGTGACTTACATACATACCAACAATACCAGAGACTTGAAATTTAAGACTACTAAGAACTTGTTAAAATAGGCTTTTTTTTTTCTAGTTGATTTTGACTTTTTCTCATGTTGATGTAACATGCATCACAGATACTTAACAACATTAACTTAATACATTGGAATATTATTGTAAAACTTTCATCTTCAATCTTCATTTTTTCAACATTTGCAGGAATAAAAGCTCAAGAAATGGAGAGCAGCAAAATTGTAATACCACTGGACCGAATACCAGGTGTCTTTGTTGAGGAAGTCTTGCCTGAACCTTGTCTAGACTTTGGCGCGCACCGTAACTTCCCAGCCCACACACCCGCACAAACGTTTCGACGACTAAGCGAGCGCTACGTGTGCGCCCACCCTAATGTCCTCGGTTGACTTTGGCGCGCACCGTCAACTTCCCAGCCCACACACCCGCACAAACGTTTCGAAGACTAAGCGAGCGCTACGTGTGCGCCCACCCTAATGTCCTCGGTCGACGCCGGTCGTCTTTGGCGCGCACCGTCAACTTCCCAGCCCACACACCCGCACATACGCTTCGACGACTAAGCGAGCGCTACGTGTGCGCCCACCCTAATGTCCTCGGTTGACTTTGGCGCGCACCGTAACTTCCCAGCCCACACACCCGCACAAACGTTTCGAAGACTAAGCTATAGCCCACGCACACGCACATACGCTTCGACGACTAAGCGAGCGCTACGTGTGCGCCCACCCTAATGTCCTCGGTCGACGCTGGTCGTCTTTGGCGCGCACCGTCAACTTCCCAGCCCACACACCCGCACATACGCTTCGACGACTAAGCGAGCGCTACGTGTGCGCCCACCCTAATGTCCTCGGTCGACGCTGGTCGTCTTTGGCGCGCACCGTCAACTTCCCAGCCCACACACCCGCACATATGCTTCGACGACTAAGCAAGCGCTACGTTTGCGCCCACCCTAATGTCCTCGGTCGACTTTAGCGCGCACCGTCAACTTCCCAGCCCACACACCCGCACAAACGTTTCGACGACTAAGCGAGCGCTACGTGTGCGCCCACCCTAATGTCCTCGGTTGACTTTGGCGCGCACCGTAACTTCCCAGCCCACACACCCGCACAAACGTTTCGACGACTAAGCGAGCGCTACGTGTGCGCCCACCCTAATGTCCTCGGTTGACTTTGGCGCGCACCGTAACTTCCCAGCCCACACACCCGCACAAACGTTTCGAAGACTAAGCGAGCGCTACGTGTGCGCCCACCCTAATGTCCTCGGTCGACGCCGGTCGTCTTTGGCGCGCACCGTCAACTTCCCAGCCCACACACCCGCACATACGGTTCGACGACTAAGCGAGCACTACATGTGGACCCAGCCTAATGTCCTCGGTCGACGCTGGACCTTTGGCGCGCACCGTCAAGGGTGAAAGCACCTATGTATGGTCGAGAAGTACTGAACGAAGTAAATCGACTTAGTTCGAAGTAATTAATTCGAAGTGGGCCACCAGATGGTACCATCTGGTGGCCCACTTGCTAGTTTTCGTATATAAATATAATACGCAGTCTATTCGCGCGGACAATGACATGGACAGTGTTTAGTAATGACTTAAATTTTTGGCCTCTCATGCCGTGTGAACCCAACCTTAATTTGTTCATGCTATGACAGAGGGACCTGACGATTGCCAATATTCCTACACATAACTTAATTTATACATTTTCTGTGCTTATAACTGAACAATTAATGTTCAGTCAGGCAAATAACTGGGTGCTACAAATCTTACATTGTGAAAGTGTATTGGGTTGTGTTATCGGAGATAATAAATGAGTGAGCATCTGCAATCATTTTTATACTTGTACCTGTATGTGTCAAGTTAAAGCCATTTTTAAACATATAAGGCATATCGGCGCTGTTTAGTGCTTTTTAGAAAGCAAGAAACAAAATGTAAACATAATTCTATATAAGAATAAATTTGTCACTAGATTTCACATTATCATAAGTTACTATTGTGTATTGAAGCATTATTTACCTACCGAAGTTGACTGAAATCAAAATCAGATCAATTATGATATGTACATACATTGTACATCTTAAACAATTGTTTGTTAAATTTTATAAATTTTCAAACTCATTCTAATACATTGTTAATAATTTTACGTATGGATTGGTCTTGATTTGTGGTTGATATTATTTATATTGCTCTTTAGATGGATATTTGAAGTAACAAAAGATTACTATAGCATATGTAAAATGTTCAGTGAACACAATAAAATTAATAGGCTGTTAAAAAACTTTTTTTTATCTCTCTCTCCTGTGCAATGATTATTCCCATCTGATGATGGGATTTTCCTCTCTGATCTTGCACTTCCACATTGCTCTATCTGACGTAATAGTTTTTTAAAAAGTTATGTGTGACAGTGTAAGCAAGGTATTTGGCCACCATTCCCTGTGGTGACCAGGTGCCTCTGCAATTCTTTCATACAGTTCATATTTACATCCGAGTTGAAATAAAAAAATTACCTTTATAAAATAGCATTTATTTTACAAAGTAAATGTAACATCGAAGTCAGTCTTAAAATTACGCACAATTACAAATTACTAGTTTGCAGGAGGCACTGGCACAGTATAAAAATGGAAGTTATAAGTAAACCTTATATAGGTATCAAAAGTAACAAACATCGTATATATAGTTGCTGATAGACCTGTATATATTAACCTGCTCCAATTTTTCTTAAATTACCATATCCAATATGACTTAATAGTATACATAGTATAGAAGTTACAACTTTAAGTACAAAATTACGAAGTATTCTTATGTTACTAATTTGAAGTACAAGGAGTCATTCATTCTGTGGAACATTAATACCATAAAAATTAATTGCATATAAACGAGCACCGAAGATTATCAAAATAATATTGCGTTAATGTCGTCGATTCAAAATTTACATAACCCTTATATTTTATTAAAAAAACTGTTGGCAAACAAAATATATCACAACAATAAATCATGTCCGATCATTAGTATTACGTATGTACAGAAGAGGTAGTTTGACTTAATTAACTATTATGATGCCTCCATATGCCTGTGTACTGTCACGGGAGCAATAATACTGTTCTTGCCACACGGCACAACAGTCGTGAGGTCTGGCTTTAATCTTGGCTTAATCTTAGCTGGGATGGGGCAGCTCACGTCAGACTTCGTGTCATCAGACAAAATTATCGGATCGTTCACCGAGAAACCTGTGGCCTCGGAGTCTTCGTGAGGCGTCATTGTCGAATAGCCGTGATCTGAACCGCCCGCTGTGTGCGGCCTTCGATAGCCAGTGACAACCCGGTATGGCGATATGGGAGCGTCGATTTCCATTGCCGGCAGGAGTTTGTCCTGACCCGACTGATCGTGCATATCGTCGGACTGCAAGTGGCTCATTTGAACGTCGGCGTCGTGCCAAGTCTCGGCCGGCCCGTCTACGTATAGGTTATGACAACTCGCCGAGGTCACGTTCTGCCTATAGCAATATATCGCCACGGCTATAACTAAACTCACCGTTATGATACAACCAGCAATTGGCCCAATGGCGGAGTAACTACCTAAAGCCTCCCTGTTGGCGTGTCCGTACGTGCTTTCGCCGTATGGTGTGACCGCACCTAATACTCCATTGAAACAAGTGGACTGCGAGGTGCAGAACGGGGAAGGTAGCGGCGTCCTACCGTCAGCGTCAACTTGACACCATTCACAGCCAAGAACACCTAAGCAAGTGGAGTGCGTCAAATAGGTTTCGCACTGAAAATCGAAGCAAGACTTCAAATTCTCGGCGAAGTTGTGAAAATAGTGAGATTTGTGATTGTTGTTTTCAGGTATCATACCACAGAGGGGCACATTTTGATTGACTCTTGATACATTCGCGTCTGGGCATTCATACACTTCTGAACTGCATTCACAAGGACATTCACACTCGGTTTGCTCCATGCGGTTGCAGTTCAAACAGAGACGGTCTACCATGCTGCATGGGCAGAATGCTCCAACATTACAAGATGCATTAACCAGGCCAATGAAAGCATTCGTACCTGGGATTGCAGCTATGTAGTAATGGATACAGTGGTCACCAGAAACAACATTAGAGAGCACATGTGGCAGTGATGTATTAAATTCATAAAATCTTTGTATGGTTTTGTCAAAGAAATTATTACATAATCTTTTAGTCACAAATCCCTTGTGGTTTAACATATCAATTGCTATCATTGATTCTTTATGAGTTATATGTTGTTGTTCTATAGGTCCTGAGCTATTGGGATCCATTAATCCAGGATGAGAAACTAAGTAACCACGGTCATTCATTATCAAACATTTAACATAAGACATGGCACATAATGGTAAGCTGTCAATAAGAAGTTTATAGAGGAAACCCATGGTGACATCCATAGAAACCACCATTGTTGGGTAAACTAAACTTTTTATAGCATAAGATATGGACACAACATAGCCTGCACCACCTACATCAAGATTTGGCGGTGTCAGAATTATCTTTCCAGGATTTTCCATAGCAAATGTGTACCAAGGCCTTCTAACTGGTTCATAATCATATTCTAAAACGGTTCCAGGATACATAACTAGGACACCACTTTCTGTAACTGCATATCTTCTAACAACATATCTTGAATATGGGCCATGTAAATGTTGCCTTTTGAAAAATGATAAAATCGAGTTTAAGAAACCAACATCTTGCTGAATTTCATTTTTTAATCCAGGGTTTGAAAGTAATCCATGAGCAACACTTCTTAAGTATGCTAAATAGTTTTGCATATAAGTAACAGCTTCCTGTCCATCGCCCATATCGTAAAGGTAAGTAAATGGTGACTGAAAGCTAGAAGGGCTAAGATACACAGTTCCTTGGTCAATAGTAGCTATTTGTTTGAAATGACGACACATTGTACCAGATTTTGGAGGAAACAAATCAAGCCTGTGGAATAATATTTCCTTGCTACTTTTTGTGAAAAATATGTTTGATTTAATAAATGTATTATTGTTTGTAGTTTCAGAAACTACACAGACAATGTACAACTGTTGCACCCATTTCCAAGAGTATGTTATTGACTTAGTGCTGTTGTGATCATCAAATGTGATATTGCCTGATGCATTTATTAACATATCTCTTTTAACATTATCAATAAAATCATATGGTTCAATTGCTTCTAAGTTAGTGAACTTTATTTTTTCTGAGGCTGCCTCAGGCCTCGGGAAGTATGTGTGCATAAGTACCTTACCAGAAAACTCCATTATAAATGCTCTTTTCCATTGACTTATACCTTTAAAATAAATTATGTCTTCTGCAAGATCAGACCAGTATAAGTCCAAACCAAGTATACCATTGGTTATTGGATGCACTAGAGACATCATAAAGTCTCTCTCAGTAGCCTCCCAAACTGGTCCTTCCATTTTTATCCCACTCTCATATTTACTAGGTAATAGAGAAAGAAACGCTGATGCCATTTGTCCTATTACACCGCTATCACTAGTATGAAGTCTCATGACTGTATGATTTTTTGAGTGATTGTGACCTCTGTCAACATGCAAAATTTCCAGTGAACCATTTTTATCTAGTTCATTTCCATTTATTAGTCCAATTGTAAATTTCACATTAACATCTTCATGTTTACCATAAGGGAATATTTTAAGCCATGTATCATTTTTCAAAATCTTAGAATCTGTCAATAAAATGAATAACTTGTTCTTTGGCAACTTTTTCTCAAACAATAACTTTTTTATCTCCAAATTTATTGATAGTGGTGCAACATTTGAATTTGCAATGTCTATGGTGGTTAAGTATTCTCGCAATAGAAGTTTATTACTTTCTGTAGCATTTCCCAAATTAGACATCCCATAGCCGCAAGTATCTTCAAATTTGAAGAAATCTGTTGAATTCGTTATTTTTAGAGCCATCATATCTATGTTTTGCAGTGCATAAGCCGTTTCCTTGGTTAAAGCTAAGGCATGTAGAAGAGATTCTCCAGCTATGGTATTGTCAATTATAAAAACAATCAATTTCGGGTCAGGATGAACAATCTTATGGTACAGATATCTTAAGTTAGAATGTGGTACAGTGGCACAATGTTTGTCAGTTGCATAATCCATGTGCGAAAGAAAATATTGTCTCTTTATTTTCAAATCTTTAAACCTATCTAACATCTTGGATTTAGAGGCCATATAGGGTAAGTTATCATAAATATTTGTATTTTTAATAAAAACAGACTTACGAATAGAGTTAAATGGGCAAGGATGAGTGAAGGACGGAGTGCTATTCTGGTTCATGTCGTTCTTCATTTCCACCAGAATATTGGTTGCCGCTGAAAGCTTGTAATTCAATTTATCTGCTATGCTAGCCAACATGTTATTGTCTGTGTATTGATAGCGGCTCACTTTGTACGCGTTTCTAAGTTCAAAGTGGCTTGTATACTCGCTACCCAGTTCTTGAATTACGATTTCTCTGAACTTACTGGCTAATGTGTCTGCCAATTTCCGCACATTTGACTTGTAGTCATTTCGCGTGCCGCTTCTAGTGTAATTTTCGTTTTCGGCAATGAGAAAAGTAAAATTGAAACAACTGAACATAAAAACAATTATCATGCGCCTCATTTTGTTCACATTATTTTTAAATCGCCGCAAATTTATTTATTTCCCTTACTGTTCTTGACATCTTGTAAAATTGTCATGATTCATTTATAAACCTAAACATTATTGTATTAACAATGTTTAGAAACTAGAACAACATTGAGTCTGAACTCGGAAATTCGACGAATTTCCTAGCTAATCCTATGTCACTCAGATAAATAATATCTTGAAAACGATAACAGATTATCAAGTATTTTTAGAGTATGGGTACTACTACTAGTGCTGCTCAGTACAGTACTAGTATTACAGGCTATATTCAATCTCTTACCTTCAAGAAATAACTTGAAATTTTATACGGTAATAACCTATAAGTAATAAATGTATAATAATACATGACTTTAAATTTAAAGCAATTATAATTTTAGTTAAAATGGTAAGAGAATTAAAAAATCCAAATTGTTCAGATGAATTAGAATGTAATAAATTATCTTATTTTATATATAAAGTATTAAATTAAATATCGTTAATAATGTGTAGTTGTTGAAGACGAATATATAAAAAGGCAAATATATTCTAAAAAAATGGAAAATGATAAAGGAGTTGTGCTTATTTTAGTGCATGGTGGTTTAATTTTATAATAAACTAGCGGACCGGATAGACGCTGTCCTGTACACACGACTTAATTCGATAACTTCGATAACCGAAATGTGAATTTATACCAAATTAAATTACACACAAAAAATTCATTAAAATCGGTCCAGCCGTTTAGGAGGAGTTCAGTGACATACACACATACAGAAAAATTATATATATAAAGATAATATGAAAATATGATAATATGAAAAATAAATGTTTGTATTACAAGAAAAGTTTATATTTGCCGCTATTGATGAAAAATAGAAAGTGGAATAAAGTTAATGTTTTCGTTAAAAAAAAGTTTAAAATTTGTGAAGAATGTATGATAGTGCCCTCGAGTGGCAGCCTCGTATTGGCCCTCATAGTGTAGGACAACCCCGCACTAGATGGGGTGCCGACCTGTACAAATGTGCGGGAAGTCACCGGGAAGTCGACGAATGTAGGTGCCGGAAGGGGCTTCAGTGATCTGCGGACGCTTTGCCAACTTTCTCAGTTTGCCTACCTTTTGAAGGTTTAGTACTAATCGTTCCCATTTTGGGTAATTCTTCATATATTCATACTAGTAGTTACCATGTCGCCAACTTTAATATATTTTTCTATTTGTATTCATTTGTTGCCCACGTTTTTTAAACAACGTAACAAATTTCTCACTTTGCCAACTATTGGACATTCAGAAACAAAAGTGAAATAAAAATTCACTATCATTTATTAATATCTTATATTATTATCTATGCAGTTTTACAAGTGTTGATATTTTTGCTACTACTCCTTCATAACTGCATATTTACTATAATTTTGTTAAAAAAAATGTGTGCGTGTACTAGCGTACACTCGTAAGAAGTGAAACTTTTTTATGACGTTATTTTTCTAAAAAATAATTTACTATATGCAACTTTACAGAAATTGGTTAAATAAAGTTAAATTAGATAAAGTTTAATAAAAGGCTTTTATTATCATAGACATAAATACAAATTCTACAATTATTTCATTTTAGCTTTGTATAATATTTAGTTTCTTATTTGTAATACATAGGTGGCGTTAGTAGTAAATTAAAACACTATGGTTTGACCGTTGTAATTAGTATGAGGGTCCGCAAAAATTGTTGATTAAAAAACTTGCAACGTGAACCTTGTTTATTTCAATTAACCTCACGGACCCAAAATACAACCGCTTTGAATTTGTACATGGTCCTTCGTTGCTGAATAGTCAGCCAGTGAGTAGAAGGCAGACATTCGACTCGCGCGCGAGTGTTGTGAGTGAAGTTTTTTTGGAAAACCGAACTTGCGGACGTTGGATCGACGTCGCAACCGCAAGTTCCAGGAGCCGATCGAGGCTTCGAAGATCATCATCGGTCAGCTTCAGATTGTGTCTTCGGTGGAAGGCGCAGTCAGGTCACGGTGGGCGGTGCCTACACACTACTACAAATATTATTATTGAATTTCATTAATTGTAATAGAATTATTACTATCATTGATGTCGTTATTATATATTTGTGTTATTAATGGCTTATGGTAACTGAAATACGAAATATATTGTTTACATTTTAGAATTAGAATTAAAATAAACCCTTTGATTTTGCTGATCACTTTAATGTAACATATATATATATATATATTGTTATGAACACACAAAGGAACTAACGCCATCTAGCGTCAACTATTAAAACCACTAAAGAATAAAGACGACATAAAACCCCCCTATTCAACACTAGATGGCGTTAGAGGAACATTTTAAGATAAGAAAAAGATGGCGCGTAACGCAAAAATGTTACACTAAATTTTTTTCCAACCCCGATAAAGAAGTTTCACTTCAAAAATATACATAGTATACATTTAAGTAACTACTTCAACTATAATATCTAAAATTAACTTGCTATGTTGAATGAAACCTATATATTGTACATATACTTATCTGTATTCATGTGTAATAAGTTAATAATTAATGGTATACCAAATTTCGTACGTTTATTTGTATGTAAAATAAATAAACTGCAGTAAGATCAAGTTCTCTTAAGATCTTTTGAAACAAACAAATTTACTGGAAATAAATTAGATATTACTTTATTTTTAATAATTGGTTTGCTGATCGCATTTTATTTTCCACAACCATATGCATATTCTAGGTAGGTATGTTTATTTCCAGTCGAATTTAATATTCACTTGCAAAATTTTATCAAAATAATTATAAAGACATATATATAAATGTAAAGTGAATAAAAATTAGATAAACTTTTAAAACTAGAGGCCTCATTCAGCTTTGGCGTCCTTAGCTTCTGAAGTGCTTAGTCCGCCACTGACAAGGCGTACTGTACTGTATCTTAGCATATAAATATAATCTAGGGTTGGCGTATCTTTATAGACAAAAACCCCATAAAAATAAAGATAATAAAAAAAATATAAATGAAGCACTTAACATGTTATGAAAAGAAATTATAAAGAAAATTTAGGGTTATTAAAAATAAAAAGCTATGTTCTCTATCAATCTATTAAGCTTGTTAAGCTATAAGCTTAAATAGATAATTCGTTTGCCACGGTTGCTAAACTATAGTATAGGCGGCGCCGCCGGCCCGGGTAGAGCAGGGTAGAGCAAGAGGAGCGGTGGCCCTTTTCTAGGCCCCTAACAGGTATGAAGAGACGCTAAAAATAAAAACAATTTTCTCATAAATTAAAATTTTATAAATTTTTATCAGTACTTTTTTTATGTATTGAAAATAACAACAAACTCTAATATAATGTATATTAGTGCTACATACTTATTTTCTTAATTCAAAAAGTACTGATGTTAAAAAATTATCTAATTAACATAAAGCTAAATTACAATTTATGTTCAGAGGAAGCACTGACTAAAGGGCGCTGAAAGAACCTCGCTCTACCCTGAACAAAGGCTAGGGCTCTGGCTCTAGGCTTTGGCATCGGGGATCATAAGTTTGACATTAACCAGGGAAAGGTAGTGCCCCACATGTTAATAATAGCTTTAAAAGATCAGATAAATTGGTTTATTAGTGGTATGAATAAAATACATACTCCATGAAAATATCCACAGCAGTTAAGTTGGCTGGAATTAAAGAATTAGAAGAGAAAACGAACGAAAGTTGTGTTCTATGACTGCAAGCTATTAGTTGTACTGATATGATAACAATAAAAGTTAAAGAAATGAGCTAGACAAGACGCTTTTCTTTATTCTTTTCTTTTGCTTTTTTAGTCAAAACGTGTGAAATCATTACCATTACTCAAGGATTTATAATAGGTATCCTATATTTATCTTTATATATAAAAATGAATCCCTATTTCCCTTGGTCACGCCATCACGCGTGAACGGCTGGACCGATTTCAATTTTTTTGTTGTGTTTGTTATTATCAGGAGAAAGTTCTTATGAAAGAAAAAATTTAATAAATTGCCTGAAAAAGTCTAAAAACAACACTTTTCTATGTTCCCGTACTAAAGATTCGTAATAATATTTAAAAGTCAATTAGAACTTTAATACCATACCATAAAGTTTAAGTGTTAATGGAGAGGTTCCGGAAAGGCAAATCAAGTGAGTGATCTTTGCTGTGCATCACTTATTCACTACATAGTATAAAAACAAAGTCGTCCCGCTGTCTGTCTGTCCCTATGTACGCTTAGATCTTTAAAACTACACAACAGATCTTGATGCGGTTTTTTTTTCTAGATAGAGTGATTCAAGAGGAAGGTTCATATGTATAATACCTTGCACGCGTGCGAAGCCGGGGAGGGTCGCTAGGATATAAATAAAATTTGCTAGAATAGATAATACTCAGCTCCCATGTATTAAATATTTAAATTAATTAATTGCACAAAAGATAATTAAATCTTGGACATTCATATTATAACAAAGTGCAAAAATGGAACGACGGAAATTGTTTTAAAATCATTTTAATACAGATGACGTATGACAGAGCATATAAAATCCTTCTTCCGCTGCGATATATTGTAAACAAAAGAATAGAATCTCGTTTTTGTTTTATGTGAGAAGGTGGCAAAGGAGCTGGCGATTGACCTGATGTTACATGATAACCACCCTTAGGAAATATCTGTACACATTCTTTGCACCCACAGACACTGACATGCAGGAATTTCTGTGCTACCCCGAAGTGGAAAGTTTTTAAATTTTTTTTCACCTCATCATTACATTCAGATCGCAGCAGCAGACCCTATTGTGCTGCTCCAGGACAATAACTTATTAGAGCAGACTTCTATAAAGCCCAATTAGGTATTTAACATTAAGGTTTGAACATTATGACCAGATGGATTTTTGAAATATACGGAATACCATCGATTTTCATATTTTAAAGCCTTACCCCACTTGCAAATTCAAGAGTATTTTTGTGGATGGTCACAGAATACTAATACTCACGAGATGGTAATAATTATATTAAAACCCGTAGCACTTCACGATTCGGAATCAGCTCGAAAAGTAAAAATGAGTACTTATATTTCCCAAGTTTTAACAAATATCACTCAAATAAATTTAAAAAAATGCAGCTAACTAACCTTTATATCAAAAATGACACCTGTAGACACATTAGCATATTTAGTTTTTTTTTTGTTTACAACTCCTATTACGAAAAATATAACCGACCATTCATTGAACAAGAGGAACATGCTTTGAGTTGGAAAATAGTGACCTTGAATGGGGGCCTACGGCCGCAAAGTGCCCGCGTTTCCGACCTCGGAAGTTTCATTAGTGAACATGTGAGGCTTCGTTAGTGTTTGGTTACGCGCGACGCTAGTCAGTAGTTTGCTTTACGGGGGCATCGATTGGTCAGGGGCGGCTCGCCGGCGTGGCTTATATTGGGTGGCGGCCGATCATTAACCCAGTTGGGCGGCGGGACGCGGCGCGGGCGGCCACGTCAGTGCCGCGCCATGCAGCTCCCAGAGGCGCCGCCGCCGCTCGCTCCGCTCTGGGACCGGGTGCTCAGAGCGCGCGCCTTGCCACCAGACCTCGACGTTGACCTGCTGTACATTGCCATCAGGGATCGGCTCGCGCACCCCGAATGGGAAGTCCGTCTGCACGCGCTAAGGGTCCTCGCCGATCTCTTGCCGCTGTCCGGCAACGCTCTGTCGTTCCCGTTCGACCAGGTCGTAGACAACCTGGGCCACGGCTCACCGAACGTCCGCAAGGCGGCGTTGGACGCCCTCAAGGTTTTCGCTAATTACTGCGAGGACACGGAATGCGCAACCAACGCAATTCTAGATAAATGCTCGTATAACAACATTAGGCCGCATTCAGCGAATATTGATAATAAGGTTAACGTAATAACGGGTTTGGTTCTATCGATTCCTTCAGTGATGGCTATACTAAAACGCAGAAATCCGAATCTGGACATGTTTCCAGTTTTCAACACGTTGGGTGATAAACTTTTTGACTCTGTGCATAGGGATGTCGCACTGCGATCCCTTATGAAACTCCGGAGGGTGTGTGGGCCGCGCGACTACATGCTGTGCTTCACGAGGCTGGATCCAAAAGTGCAAGACAAGTTTCGTTTGTTGTGTGAAAAGTTCGACGAGGACTCGCTGGACGTGTACTACGCGCCGCGCAGGACATACACCACCAATGGCTCTCAGCCGTTGACGAGGATCAATCACGTGTTCAACAATCACTCCACTGCCCCCATTCGTATATCGTCCGACTCGTCGTCGGACGATTCGTACGCGATGCCGTACTATACAAACAATTACGGCAAAGTCATAATCGAAACGGAAATAAAGTTCGATTCGGACACGGCGATCACGATGACTGTGCTGGAGCAGAATGAATCTGAGTCCGAGAAAAATACTGGGAGTGACGACGAAGACAGCGTCGACCGTAATATGCTAAAATACAGTGACGGTGAGTCAGAGGATTCCGATGTAGTGGTGAAAAAGGTGAGGTTCGGCGGCGAGAGCGTCAAAATTCGGACGCCCGATAGCGACAACCTAATCACGAGCGAAGAGGACAACAACCCAATCACCGCGTCAGAAGAGAGCAGTAACATAGAGGAAGCGTTACCCACCACCCCGAGCATCGTGAACAAAATGAACGACATTAAACGCGAGTCGGTGGAAAGGGAGGCGCGCCTCAATCAGAGAAAGAGCGCAATTCCTTTGCCCGTGATCAGATCACATCGAGCGAACGATGCGGCCAACAACACCGTTATGAAGTCGAAGTCGAAATCGTTGAGCGAACTCTATGATTATTTTAACAAGAGAACTGGCAGTGAAAGCAGGCCTAAGGACGCGTCGAAATTCGCTCTGACGCTGACTGAAGTGCGGTCGCCGGAGAAGATCCCTAGCCCAGTAGAAACGCATAAGGAGGTGGAGGTCCTCCACAACCTACAAAGAAGTCCAACGGTGTCACCTAGGAGACAACAGACGCGAGTGCATATTGAAAAGGATGGGTAAGTAACTACTATTGTCAATAAAACTTATCCACATTTACTATACCTAACAAAACATCTGTACGATACAAAAGGCGTAATGCCCTTGCTAGATTACTATATAGAATATACTCAGTACTTATGATCCCGTGTATTTCCGGAGAAAGGATTGTTTTCTTATTCACATACTTAAACATGAACTAACACAGTATATTTGATGCATTAGCAAACGAAAGTAGTCTGTGGGGGAGGCCTATGTTCAACAGTGGACTCAAACAGGCTGAAATAATGATGATGATGAAGTAATAGTCCCTCATTTGAAACAAATAAAGCTCAAACAAATGAAGGTTTTATCACAATATTTTTTCATTCAAACCTAACAATTACATACTCGGGCTAACTTAATGGATTATAAACAATGTTTTTTGTTTATGATGGAAGTTGGACTTTAAAGGAGCACGAGGCGGTTTATTATTGTTATAAAACGAAAATTATGTTCCGGAAAATGTTATATTTAGACACTAGTGCAATTTAATGGTGGTAGGACCACGCAACAGTCTTCACTGTTGCACGAATAGGCAGGTCCGTCCGGGGAAGTAGCACGACTTCACAGAAGACCGGTGTGAAGTGATAAGTAAAGTATAAAGAGATACCACTTCTTCGTTTCGTCAGTTGAGTGAGGTAGACGGGACCCACTTTATTAAAAGCTGTACATTAGCATACGTTAAAACAATTTACTTGTCAAATACTCATATGTATATTTTAACCGCGTACGATATTCTAATAGTTTAGCCAGACGTGGGCCGTGAAATTGGTTACAAGGTCCATTCGGTCTCTACGAGCCTATTTAGAGTCTATAAAACTGTCCGCCAGGCAGATTTTAGTTATGCCTCATCCTCCGCTTGTTACCAGATGATGTCAACTAAGCCGACCAACGTTCGTCACGTTTTCCTGGGTTAAACTTTCTTAGTAATGAATTTAACTAAACTACCTACTTACTTAAACTTTCTTACGCCCGGTTTCTGAAACACTGATCATCGTAGAAGTCAACTAATCAGCTCTCAAATGTCTTTTCAAATAATATTTGAGTTGCCAAAAGGATGGTTAAACCATTTGAATTGATTATTCCGATCATTAAGAAGATCATTCTGATGAAAACGATTGTAATTATCATATTAATTTTCAAATACAGATCGCAGAAAACTATGTAACCTTACTCCTAGTTTCGAATAATTGTTTTGCAATCAAATCAGTTGTGCAATTTGTGGCCAGTTTGTCGGCCTGCCAGTTTATCGAATTGTAAAAAAAACAGCTTACATTTTATTTTGAAAAGAGCCATTTAAATCTACGGACCGATGTCTATCTTCTAAAATGATCCTGGAACAAAAAGTTGCGAGAAATAGACAAATAGTTATATATAAGCATAATTGATAATCAAAAGACAATACCATTAACTTTTCAATGTCTGTTGTTGGTTTAATTTCTAATTTTTTTTTCTACTTTTCGATTTAATGGAGTAGTTTTTTTTTATGTGAGAAGGTGGCATGCGAGCAAGTGGTTCACCTGATGTTAAGTTTAGGTATCACTCCGCCGCCCATTGACATTTGCACATTCCATTGACATATGACAACACCGGTAGCCTCATTCATCAAACAAAATGCAGTTCCACTTCATTCCGGTCTTTTGTGAGGTCGTGGTACTTACTCCAATAGACCTCCCCATTTGTACAGCGGCGGAGGCTTTTGCGTGGGTCAACCACAGTAAAGTATGCGCTTTGCTTCACCTATAAAATCTACCACCGAGAATAAAAAATATTTTTTTTATTGTTTATGATTTTTGTTATTCTAGAGCACTTATTATCGTAAACCTTTCATGAAACCTCCTTGTTCACAATTCTTTTGAAAGACTCAATAATTTTCAGTTAATACCACCGGTTAGATTTTTGACAATAAGAAAAACAGTTAAATGCAAATATAGTTAAAGTAAAATCCGTTTGTTGATTAAACATTAAGCTAAATTTTTAAAAGAAAGGGCGAAATGTTTATTGTCGCTGCTGGAATCGGAAGGTTAATTAATGGGGTTGAAAACACGATGTTCGTTTTGGTGATGGTAATATTTTGTTCGGATGATAGCTACGGCACATATAAAATGTACTAGCGACCCGCCCCGGCTTCGCATGGGTGCAATATTTTATATACATAAACACCTTCCTCTTGAATCACTCTACCTAGTAAAAACCGCATCAAGATTCGTTGCGTAGTTGTAAAGATCTAAGCGTACATAGGTACAGACAGACAGCGGGACGACTTTGTTTTATATTATGTAGTGATGTATGAATAGTTCACACTTCACAATGGTACATAATCCCATCCCCTAGTTGTTTGATATTATCAAATCCATTTATATCGTAGATTCGTTCTTAATCTGGTGGCTTCATCGCCTCCGGAGTCGTTGCTGGTATCACCGCTGCCGGCGTCTCCGCTGAAGAAACATTACGATTGGGAGGACCTGGAAATATTGCCATCGCGTGTCTGCGATCAGCTCCATAACACGGTAACGAAGCTTTTTTGTGATGTGAAAATTTAGCAAGCGGTGGTACACCTGACGTTAAGTGATTGCCGCCGCCCATGGAGATCTACAATACCTGAGGCGTTTCAGATGTGTACTTGATACTTTTAAAAAAGTGCGCCCCAGATACGTAACTCACTGGACGAAACGCGAAAGTATAGTATTGTCACTTCACGTCGGTCTCAACTCTCATGTGAGGCAGTAATACTTCCCTGGATGAGCCTGCATATTGACAGCAGCACCGTTGAAGTAGAACACAGTTGTTGCGTGAAATTATGTAAATATGTTAGATACCATAAAATCACGGGCAGTAATCTAAGCCTGTAGATATGAATATTTTGTTTTTGTTTTCACACAATTTCAATTACAGTCTATCAACAATGGAAAGGGTAAACGTAATAAAATTCGTAAAATAGTTTTATTTTCACAATCTATTTTATCTTGTTGAATTATGTTTTAGATTCCTTAACAGGTGGCTCTATACCTATAGATACCTACTATAAAGTGTTGTGCAATTTTTTTTAAGTCGGAACAATCCTTTATGGATCTTGGAAGTTGCAGGGGTATCTAGGAGTTCCGGTCAGAAACGGGTACCCACTAAAAAACACGCAGAACACTGGACAGACACGGGAACACGCAGACGAAATATTCCGCGACCCTGGAGAGACTATGGCTTTTTTGGGGCTCGACTTCTCTGGTGACACCCGGTCCGGCCAATTGCTTAGCAAAAAAACTTAAGTTATGTTTAGGAAGCGTAAAATAAATTCAAATATGTTTGTTGTACCTTGTATTTAAATTTGTCTGCAATAGCCTAGGGCCACACAACAGTGTTCACTGTTGCACGAATGGGCACGTGCGTCCGGGTAGGTACCGCGACCTCACAGAAGACCGGCGTAAAGTAGAAGTGTTACATTTTTGCGTTTCGTCTGGTGAGTGAGGTAGCCGGGGAGCACTTTATTTAAAGATGGCAACGCATTTACAACCCTACGGGTGTTGCAAATGTCCATGGGTTTCCACTTTCTCACATAAAAAAGTACACGTGCCTTCTGTCAAGATGCGTCATTTTCCAAAATCATGACGTTTGGCCCACTATACTGATTGAAGTCCCTTTAAGTGTCTGTCTGTAAAGGTGAAATGTGATTAGTTGGTACTATTTGACTTTGTTAGGGTTAAAACGCAGAGGTTATATTTCATTCGACCTCCTTTAACGGATGTGTTCTTTATTCAAATCACGCCAGGATAACTGGATCGCGGCTGTGAAGGCCGCCGATCAGCTGCACAGCACGCTGTTGGAAGCGAACAGCGTGCGTAGCGTGGAGCCGGCGGCCTTGTCGCTCGTTGAGCACATGTGGGCACTCAGCGACGCGGTGAGTTGGGCTTGAGACGTACAGATAAGGTTTCATTTTTACCCGACTGCCGAAGGAGGGTAGTGTTTTTGAGCATAAACAGCGTGTCGTTACCAACGCGACAATAAATGAACACACATATAGAGGATAACTTTTTAAAATTGTATCAAAAATTTACATTCTTCAAACATCAATATTTACAGAGTTATTAAATTTTCCAAAACAAAGAATTTTAGAACACCCTTACGTGTAAAACTGTAACGTAAAGTTCATATGTTATTTACGTAAGAATTTTCGATATCGTACATATTACTACTACTAAATATTTCTATGATACATGCTATCATAGAAATATTTAGTAGCAAAAAAATCTATTAGTAATCTGACAATTCTTTTGGACCACGTTTATTAGTATTTTTTTTATCAAAAAAAAATACTGTTTAATATGTAGAATACATGTAACCATGAAAATGAAAGCTTCTGTAATGCCACGCTAGCACCTCTTCAAGTTTTAACGATAATGCTCAATTCGAAATTACACTGTAACTACGTAATAACATAATGATTCAATTATCCGCATTAGTCCTAGGTAATAATTACACGCCAGCTGTATCTGGATAGTTCAATCACTAAACCCTCCTCATAGTCGTCTAATGCTCAATAATTGATGATGTACTGAGTGATATGATCTACTGAGTCCTTTAATAAAATATAGACAATACAAATCAATTATATCGTAGGATATTTTGCACTAGTTATATGTATATCGATCTTCACGGCGGAATTTCCAGGTCGAATAACTGGAACGGCCAAAGGTTTTTCCAATATAACATGTAGTCGAGTAAGTAGTCCGTGTTTGAACTGTGAATACATTGAGGTATTAAATTATCAATGCTTTTGTTATTCTTGTTTTAATTATGATAAGAAGAATAAATGATTTCAGCGACTTCCTTTTAATTAGCCTTTAAAATTAACAAACGAAGACGCTCTAAAGAAAAATTAACATGAAATTATAGAACAGACAAAAGAAAATGTCATAAAAGATATGAACATAAGCATTCCAAGCGTTTACCAAATAACAATACCTATAATGCCAGCCATGATGCAACTTACAGTCGAATAGTACGAATTTATGAACTGGTAAGATGCTCTGACTAAAAGTTAATACTATTTTGCTAATGAAAGATACCCTATTTATATTCAAAATAACATATATTTACATTACATTTTGTATTCAAATATTTTATGTTATCGATAATAGGAAATGAAAATCAATTGTACCACACTGATAGGAGATGCGTATCTGATATTAAAGGAAGAATTATTTCTATTTACATCGAATTTATGTGACTTATGCAGGTGAAATCAAAACATTTACAATGAAAACAGTCTTCCTTTCCTCTTCTTCCTTTGTGAGTAGTTCTTGCAAGATTTCACTGCAAAGAACAGCCTACTTAATGATTTTGTGGGAGCTTAAAAATATGCGTTTATTCTGGTGTCTTATGGTGCGCAAAACGTACTGACACCAGTTTTCAATTAGATACATATTCTTGCACCTGATACCTTGACGCGTTGTCGTGCCGGGATCTAGTAAAAAACATAAACATTTAAGGCTATTAATTCACAAAATAACTTATTTTAATGTTATTATAATTAAACAAATATGTTTAGTAGGAGAAATCAACGGTTACAGTTTTTAAAAACAATGACACTAATCCTTAAACCTCTGATAATATAACATATATCCATAAAATCCATCCAACAAATCTCCATATTTATTTAAGACCAATAATCCTTGTTTACACATATAATCAAAGGTCAATGCCATTTACAACACGATTCACTAACGCCCGGTTTCTGTAACACTGATCATCGTGGAAATTAACTAATCCGCTGTCAAATGGCTTGTCAAATGTTATTTGAGTTGCGAAAATGATGGCAAAATGATTAAACTCTTTGAATTGATCATTCTTTGAATAAATCGTTATTGAAGATTGTTTTGTAATGAATATTTGTATTTCGAATAACCTTTCAAAAGAAGAGTGTCTTCTCCATTCCGACCATGCCCTCTGTACAGAGAAGGCGTCGGCCCAGCAGTGAGGCATTTGTGGGCTGTCACTTTACTTTTCCATTCACCAGGTACCAGCGACGAGGGCCCCAGCTGAAGGGGCGGTGTGCGCGCTAGTCCGTGGCGCTAGCGGCGCATGCACCCGCCTCCTCTTGCCCTCGCTGATAGCGCGCCTCTGCCGCGACCCGCCGCCCGCGGCTCTGCCGCACGCGTTGCTGCAGAGGCTCGCCCTCCACCACCTCATAGACCTCATCTTCGACCCCGAGATGACTGGAGTAATTGTGCAAATTATTTTAGACCTCATCTTCGAGGGCGAGATAGATTAATTAGGGGTACATACAGGGCCTGCAATTTGTGAGGCTTTAAGCGGTTGTTGCAAAGACTCGCCCTCCACCACCTCATAGACCTCATCTTCGACCCCGAGATGACTGGAGTAATTGTGCAAATTATTTTAGACCTCATCTTCGAGGGCGAGATAGATTAATTAGGGGTACATACAGGGCCTGCAATTTGTGAGGTTTTAAGCGGTTGTTGCAGACTCGCCCTCCACCACCTCATAGACCTCATCTTCGACCCCGAGATGACTGGAGTAATTGTGCAAATTATTTTAGACCTCATCTTCGAGGGCGAGATAGATTAATTAGGGGTACATACAGGGCCTGCAATTTGTGAGGCTTTAAGCGGTTGTTGCAAAGACTCGCCCTCCACCACCTCATAGACCTCATCTTCGACCCCGAGATGACTGGAGTAATTGTGCAAATTATTTTAGACCTCATCTTCGAGGGCGAGATAGATTAATTAGGGGTACATACAGGGCCTGCAATTTGTGAGGTTTTAAGCGGTTGTTGCAGACTCGCCCTCCACCACCTCATAGACCTCATCTTCGACCCCGAGATGACTGGAGTAATTGTGCAAATTATTTTAGACCTCATCTTCGAGGGCGAGATAGATTAATTAGGGGTACATACAGGGCCTGCAATTTGTGAGGTTTTAAGCGGTTGTTGCAGACTCGCCCTCCACCACCTCATAGACCTCATCTTCGACCCCGAGATGACTGGAGTAATTGTGCAAATTATTTTAGACCTCATCTTCGAGCGCGAGATAGATTAATTAGGGGTACATACAGGGCCTGCAATTTGTGAGGCTTTAAGCGGTTGTTGCAAAGACTCGCCCTCCACCACCTCATAGACCTCATCTTCGACCCCGAGATGACTGGAGTAATTGTGCAAATTATTTTAGACCTCATCTTCGAGGGCGAGATAGATTAATTAGGGGTACATACAGGGCCTGCAATTTGTGAGGTTTTAAGCGGTTGTTGCAGACTCGCCCTCCACCACCTCATAGACCTCATCTTCGCCCCCGAGTTGACTGGAGTAATTGTGGAAATTATTTTAGACCTTACCTTCGACCCCGAGATATATTAATTATAGTATTAGTAACATTAGGGAGTAATAGTGCAAATTATTTTAGCTCTAGTCTTCACGGGATACATAAGGGGCCCGCAATTTGTCAGACTTCACGCCATTGTTGCAAATACTCGCCCTCTACCACCTCATAGACCTCATCTTCCACCCCGAGAGGCCTGAGAGTAATTGTCCAAATAATTTTAGCTCTAGGCTTAACGGAATACCTTATGCCCGGCCCACGATTTTTGAAGCTTTACGCTGTTGTTGCAAACACTCGCCCTTCACAACCTTATAAAGCTGATCTTAGACCCCGAGATGACTGGAGTAATTGTACAAATTATTTTACACCTCATCTTCGACCCCGAAGCCCTAAAGCGAACCATGGTCCTTAACCCCTAAAGCGAACCAAGGTCCTATTGTTGTAAAAAGACGATAAAAAAGACAATACTCGCAATCGAGTGGTAAAAACAATATTGATGACGTCAGCGTATCCTAGGTGCGGGATGCAAGAGAGGCGGAGGCAGGGCAGCTGAGGGCAGCGCTGTGCGTGGCCCGCGCCGCCGGCCCTGCGGCGGTGCTGGCTGCAGTACGCCGCCGCCCGCCCCCCACGCAACATCCCGACGCCTTCTGTGCACAGGTTTTGTTATAGGTTTAAACACATCTGCATGCCCACCTGTGAGTAGATGGCCATGGATGGTAAACACTTAACACGCTCACTTAAGAGCATGCTCGCTTGCAAAGTTTTCCCATGAATAAAAACCTCTGTAGCTCAATCTTTGAACGTCGCTTGACGTCATATAAACGTAATCAATGATCCTTATATATAGATAAATATTAAATCCATTATAAGGTATCAGAACAGGTTTATGCCATGGATATTAAAACCTTTTATTAATGATGCCTCTGACCTTGAAATTTAAGTCAAATTCTACAATCAATCTAAAATCACCTCATTCTAATACTTTACCGCATTTATGATGAAGTCAGCCCCGAGACCATAAATGTTTATACGTTTTTATTTATTTTATTTCTAATAATTGGTATGTTAATTATTTTTTTTCCATTTCTAGCTAAGGGAACGACTGAACAAGCCCATTGAGAATATTCGGCCTAGTCAGTTCAGCAGGTACGTTTAAAAAATAAAACTGGTCACAGTCCACACAAAAAGTGAACTATAGTGGTATGTTAGTTTGAACATTTACACGAAAAAGTAACTTTAAACGTATAAAATATGCTGCTCTTAAACATAAGAATGTATGTTTATTAACAGATTGCTTTAAAACAATAATTATCTAATAAAAACATATTAATTTAATACATATAGAAACCAAATTATAATACTACTAACATACGTTACTAATTGTAATATTACTAACATAGATTGAGCGTACAGAGAAGCTAATTCATTTATTTTTATACTGATTGAGGAATCCTAGAAAACATATTCCGTATGGTATAATGCGAATCATTATTACGAAAAGCAATTATTTACGTGCCAGTAGGAGCTCTCAGTTGCCAGTGCCAGCGAGGCGGGCCAGATCAACGCCACCTGCAGCGCCTCCCCCTAAGCCTAGGCGCTTGCGGCCTCTGCCAGACTCCGCTCCTTTGCCAAGTAAGTCCAAACAAGTTATTCGAAGACCCGATTGGCTTAGTGGGTAGTGAACATGCCTCTTGCGCCAGAGGGTTTGTTCGATCCCCGCTACTGGAAAAATATTGTGTGATAAACATAGTGTTTTCCAGTGTCTAGGTATTTATATATGTATAATATGTATTTGTTTACAAAAGAAATTGTAATGGTTGATTTTTTTTCGAAGGTATTTCGCAACCAGGCAGAGACGTGATAGTGACATCTTTGTCGCCCATTGCTTTAAGTGACAGGTAAGTGTGCCTTTCTTTTCACACATTCAAATATTCCAGAAGAGCAAGGCGAAACTGTAATCGACACATTTCCAGACGAGATAACATGCTACGCGTGTTGTTGCGAATTCTGCCAATTCATGTTCAATTTCGTTTAGACCCTTTCTTCCCTTCGTGTAATTTCCAAAGGCGAAACATTGACGTCGTTTTAATTAATTTTTTTGTATTGAATATATTTAGTGTTAACTCATTTAAAACTTATTGCGATCGTATCACTTTTATTGATGGAAAAGTTTGTAAGTCCGCGTGACGGTATTCCGCCTTCATCCTGTAAAGGTATCAAATTGAGATGCAGTTATAAGCTTCATGCTTCATTAAATTACAGATTACTTGCAATCCCTTATTTACCAGGGATTGCAAGTAATCTGTAATTTAATGAAGAAGTAGGTACTGTAATTATTAAATAACAAGACTGACTGAAGAACAGACTAGTCAAACCGCGGGTAAAATCAGGTCTTGTATATTCATCAAATACATGGAGTAGTTATTTGAGTCTGGTGCCCTCGAAAAGTAACGAGTAATCCTAAAATTTTCAAGTCCAGCCATGAAAAGAAAGTGACCTTGACACGAAGAACTAATGAAGAGAACTAATGCACCGTAAACGACACACAGTCGTTTCTAATGAATTTATACTTAACATTGCATTAGAATGCCGTATATCGGTATTTTAAATAATGGATCTAAAACAGTTTTTGGTGAAGGATTCAATTTCACTAGAAATTCTGAAGGAACAATTATAACGGTCTTCCTTTTCAATATTTTTTAATTTAAAACTAATTTAAACGTATAATAATTAACATTGAATTAAATTAGTTAATTTTAACTTACAATTTATTACGAACTTGGCGTTGGATGAACGTCACGATAACTCGGCGTAAAATATAAATATAATCACGCAAACAAATCAGTTGAGGCTATGTCGCATTCTTGCCTATTTATAAGTTTCAAAATTTAAATGTAAATTTGCAATATGAAATGCTTTGCTAGGAAGACGTCGGTGGAATTCCTCAGAGCCGAGAATTTTTACAATATATATACAAAACATCACACTTAGTTTCATCTTGTCTGTACTCTGACTCATTCTGCACACGTCTCTGTAGTCTAGCGTTAAAAGTAAAATTATTCATATATGTATAAATTTCAAAATTGACTATTATGTCTAAACGAATACTTGTTGTTTCGAGTCTAGGTAAAATATCTCTTAAAGTAAGAACAATATGTTATCAATGGTCTCAAAATTATGAAGAAAATCAAATAAATCTTTATGGAATCATTATTTGTTCTCCTTAATTTAGCGGACCGCTTAGTGAGTAATTGACCCCTAAATATTGGTGAAACGGGAATGATCCCATAACTGACCCCAAGTTTGCTAGTGGGTCCTTTAAATCTTAGGGGTAGTTGGTGAAATCGGACATTAGACACAGAAAATTCTTTACTTTATGTATAAATGCTGTATACGAAGAAGAAACTTCATTACGGCACATTTACTATTATATTCTGTAAAACGCATAATACAGAAAACAGACACAATAGCTTAGTCGTTTAGAAAGCTGACGTTTGAAAGTGAATCATTTCCGAATACCGACGTAATATAGCAAATTATAAAAGGTCGAAGGTTGGGGAAGGGCCAAAGTTTGGACGGAGCGTTACTTAGCAACGGGGAAAAAGATACGTATGATTACGTATGCAGTCTTTGATTAGGTGACTAAAATAGGGTCAGTAGGTCGCAAATCCAGACTGGTTTTTTTTTTCTGAACAGTTTATTTGTTATAAATACTATTTGATGTTTATCGCGTCGAGACGGTTAACGTGTTGCCTTAGCTTCTATTAGCATTTGACACGCACGTCGTATTGAAAAAGTAATAGGCGCTAGAAAAGTAACAGAATTACAGTTATAATTGCGTGACACTACTAACCCACATTTATAAGCCGAAGTTGAAGCTCGACTTCCATTCAGGGCGTTCGTACACGACCTATATATACTATCGTCAGATCGCTCCACTTTGCGATGGATAAACACCAGCTAATCAGCCTCGAAATGGGGTAGTCTAATGCTTGAGGCGTTTTATGCACCTAAGGGAATCGATGTGTGCGGCTATTTACACATTAGAACAGTTCAACAGCACGTACAAATTACAATTACACCTCGCGAATTTCACGTCTCAAACTTGACATTAACGCCTCGAGCAAGCCATTTACCCCCGAGCGGCTTATTTACATAATATGCAGGTAGCGTTTGTTGCGAGTTCATCAACACGATTACGTAGGGAAATTGATTGCGGCGTAGTAGTTGGGTGTCGAGTGGCGAGGTCGAGTCAGTCGCGGGGGCGTCGCGGCAGCGGGCATGCGACTCTGCTGTTGTTACCGTCAAGCGAGAAGCGCTTGCGTGCGCCCCGCGCCCGACATAGTCGCCGACTTGCCCCCACACACGCGGTAACAGCCGACACTTCCCATGACCCTTAAGCGCCTCGACTATCGTTATTCACATCGCTCTCTCTTTACAGAGACTCCAGCGCGTACACTGTCAGCGGCGGGCGGGAAGCGAAAGCGGACCAGACCGAGATCAAAGAACCAGACAATGTGGACGGTAAGGAGGAAAAACAGGCGGAGGTGGACGAACCCCCGTCGCCGCCTCGATCCCCTTCGCTGAAAGTAGAGGACTTCTCGGAAAAATCGAACCCATCGCTGCATAGCGCAGAAACCAAAAACGAGCCTCCAGCGGAGGTCGTTGAAGAGGACGGTGAATCGCAAAAGTCTATTGCAGAAATGAATGCAGAAACTAACGGAGGGTTGGAGAGTGCCGACGGAGAAGCCTCGGTCGGTTCGAAAAGTAAGAGCGAGCCTCCAAGCCCAGTCGGGAGTGCTAGACTGTCATCGGAGGCGGTTGTTAGCGGGAGCAGGCGGTCGCTTGGAGAGCGGGACGTCCGTTCTGCGCTTGCCGAGTGCATTATGCCGGCGCGTCACGAGGACTGGGAGGCAATCGTGACCGGACTAGCGGAGACGGAGAGGATGGCGAGGGATGTGACCGCGCGGGCACCGGCCAGCAGTTGGCGAGCCGCCGCTCGTTCCGCCTCAACGCACGTGCGCTCTTTGCGCTCGAAAGTCGCCCGAGCGGCGTGCACCACGCTCGGCGCGCTCTTCGAGCACCGCGGCCGAGCGTTGGACCCCGAGCTGGACGAGGCGACGGGGGCGCTGCTGGAGCGGTGCGCTGACGTGAACCGGTTCTTGCGAGCGGACGCGACGAGCGCTCTGAGGCGGATCGCTTGCGGGGGCGTGGGGGCACGAGCGGCGGTCGCGCTGGCTCGTAGGGGTGTCACGCACCGAGCGGGGCCGGTTAGAGCGGCCGCGGCGCAGGCTTTATCCGCTCTGGTGCGGCATAACGGCGCGTCGGCGACCCTGGACATGGCGGCGGAACCGCGCACTATGCTCCTGCGCGCCACCGGCGAGCTGTTGGCGGACGCGAGCGCCGAGGCGAGGGCGCACGCGAGACACCTCTGGGTCGCGCTCGCCGAAGACCAGCGTTTCCCGCAAATGCTCAAGGACGCGATGCCGCCGACTCGGTACAGGGCCATAGAGAAATACGTCGACAAGCTGCGCTGCCGGTAGTGTTGGACGTACCGGAGACGGTTGTTATATTCGTATGTAATTTGAATATTTTTGTACTGTTTAGAAAAATTTTGAAACTTAATTAAATTGGTGCCTGCAATGTTTTTCTTTTCGTAAGTTGTACCTAAGAGATGAGACCTATGACCATGATATTATAAAGAATCTTAGATATTTGAGTTTCTTGGGATTTATATTGTTTTGATTGGCTTGTTTAAATGTACCTAATTTATTCTTTGCTTTTAAATATTAAAATAAAAATTGTATGAGACTTGTTGAAATGTCATATTATGACTGAACTGTGCGAAAGGTATTTTTCTAGCTTGTAAAATTTATAAATAAGTATCTAAACAGCTATGTACATGAGTTTTGTAAGATGTAGGTATATTGCATGTGGTTTACATGCAATAATTAAGTGACATTTTATCTAATTACAAGAAATGAATGTTGAAGTATAGACATAGAAAACCTTTTTAGTAATATCTTAATATAATATACTTATGTTGATCAATAGTTTACTTTTCAGCAACACATCTGACGTAGAAGTCACTACTGTAATTATGAATTAATGAATGAATATACTTTATTGCACACCAAAAATAAAACAAACAAAAATTAAAACTTAATGTAGAAGTAATGGGTACAATGGGCGGCCTTATTACTAAGAGTAATTTCTTCCAGGCAACCTTTACCTAACCTTTTTATAATTATATCAGACCGTATAAAAATAAATCCTTACAATTAGTGCGCCGCTCCCAGATTATGCAATTAAGTAGTAAGTTATTAGTTAACTATATGGAATAAAATGAGGAACATTTTAGTTTTATATGAAAGCAAAAGATATCAAAATAACTTCTTATTAGCCATGTTGAAGCAGCAGAATAAACCGTTTTCAACCGACTTCAAAAAGGGAAGCGGTGCTCTATTCGATTGTATGTCTTATGTTTGTTTTCTGAGAACTTTGTCATTTATGAACCGATTTTAAAAATTAAATACGGTCCCCATATTTCATTGCTATTCGACCTTGAATTCCGGAAGTACATCCTCAAAATCAAATAGAAAATGGATAGAGAGAGAGATATTTGAAGTTTAGTTTTATTTTGATACCAAAATGTTTTTCTTTTCCTTGTCAGAAAAACGTCAAAGTTTATTGTTTACTTTTTTGTTGTTATTTAGTATTACTTTAGTTAAATTTAGATTACGATGTTTTTTTCACCGTCAAATTCAAATTTCAAAATACAAAGGCGATATTTAAATATTTGTTTTTTATTTGAGAATGTGGCAAGCGTGCTGGCGGTTCACCTGATGTTAAGTGATAACATCAGGTGAACTTCACGCCGGTCTTCTGAGGTCGTGGTACTCTCCCGGATGGATCTGCCCATGCGTGCAACGACGAAGACGGTTGCGTGGCCCTACCAAACTTATGAAATATCTCATACATTACATAAAGCGTATTTATAACATTTCAAATAATTAGAAACTAATGTAATGACCTCTTTACTAAGACCCAACGTGTTCCAATGCCAACGTAGTTCTTTCTAGGTTGAAACAATCAAGACTAATAAAATATTTAAACGAGATCCTCTACTAACCGAGAAACTAATATGCACATTACTCCCTTTGGAGCTTCACTGATGTTTAATATTACGAAAAATCCATTCGAATTGTTATGTTATCCTCCTTTGGGAGTGAATTTATTATACTCAATGTTGACATATTAATGAACGATTTATAACTCATTGTCACCAATAAACAAGTAGAACAAATATTTGAATTTATTTTTTACATAAATGACCTCAAATTCATGGCAATATTTATGATAGTAAGCGTAAAATTTTTATAAGTATATCAATTGTACTTGTATATCTACTAGGTTGTTGGGAAAGCCATTTCGTTTTTTCCTAACGGATGACTTTATTGTTTATTTCGCAGCCTACTTTAAACAAAACACATTTTTGTAATATATTTGGACTGCTTATATAGTATGGCTTGTTTGTTAAATATTTAGTTTAATTCTGGGCAATACTTTTTATTTGCTCCCCTATCCTTGATTTAGACAGAGATATTTTTAATTACTTTATGAGGACAAGGCGGCCATAGATATGTTTAAAGATTTTTTTTGTATGCTAACTACCTCGGTTATCTCAAAGAGACTAGTTGAACATCAAGAGGATGTTCAACTAGTCTAGTCGAGTAATAAAAAAAACAACAATGTCCAACATAAAATATTGCCATAAGCTATAATTATTTTATTGTGTTCCATCGAAACTAATTGGTAATCAGAATTGTCTTTTTGACAGAACCTAACAGCCGTTTGACTTTGATTGTAAATTGTAAACTCGGTCATAGCACACGTATAAATGGCAATACAAAAATCAAAAACATAACATTAAAATCAAAATGAACAAGCCCTTACAATGAAACACGCCGGTAACAGTTCCCAACCGCAGTTCCGCAGCATTTGAATGGAAGTGAAACAGGAGCTTTCTGCAGTCTCTTTGGTCAAATTGTCGTCGTTCATTTTTTGGGGCGGCTTGTACTTATGGTGGGCGGTGGATTCGAACCGTAGTCCTGAGTGGTGCTCCAGGGTGGTGACCTTGCTCCACGGATCAGTCGCAACGTGTGTCGGGTTAGCGCAATGTGGTATAAACACTCTTTCGTCGTCTTCGCTAACGAGTAAGTGATGACCAACCAATATAATTTTAAAAACTTTAGTGTAGTAATATAACAGACGGGGAAGACGGGTCGTATGATGTAATTTCATATCTACTACTATCGAGTGTATAAGTTATATGACTTTACTTTTATATTTCTACACAATACCATGGAGATTTGAATTCGGTACTAGTCTCGCTTCTATCCTATTCTAGAGTCTAATCGTCTCGAGTTCTTCAGAAATGGTCAGTGTCTTTTATTATCCAGATGTAATTAATGGTATTGTTGTCAATCTACAACACTGGGTTAACTATAGTCTCCTAGTATGTGGATATGTCCGACAGAAAGGGCAATTATCGCAAAATAAACTCAAATGAGAAAATGGCGATTGCAAAAGAATCAAATCGCAATATATATAAAAGATTGCAAATGGCTTCTGCTATGGCAAGAATGTGCAGTCTTCTTTCGGGGAATTATCACGGCCTCACAGAAGACTTTCGTGAGATGAAAGTATCACACTTTCGAGTTTTGTCTGTTGTGTGAGGTAACCGGCTCAAACTGTTTTAATGGTCTGCAACCCGACTAGTGCTGTAGATGTGGTAGGTGGCAGGTGAACCGCCTATTTGCTTGTCAACTTTTTACAAAAAAAAGTCAACGCGGTATATTTCGCAGCGAAACTAACATTGGGCCATTACGCGCTAATGGTGTGGTCGTGGGGTTACTTCGCATTTGATCTGCTCTGGTGCCTCCTCTACTGGACGAACAGCTACACGATGATCTGTCATCACATCAGCGCACTAGTCGCTATCAATTTTTACCTCGGCAAGGACTACACTGGCTGTACGTTCGCATGCACTATTGCCTTGCTAGAAATAACCAATCCCCTGCTACAAACTAGATGGTAAGTATAAAAAAATATATGTTACCCTCGAATATGGAGTGTAGAAGTAAAGGAGGATCATCTCAGTGTATTAAAAAGTGTCCGTTGAAAGGGAGCAAATTAAGGTGGCGCTATAGTAGCAAGTGGAAGAATTTTAAATAGAGCGCCACAAATTATTAGAGTAGGTATAGTAGGGAGTAGTATTTTTTCTTGTTATATTAAGAACATTGACTACGTAAATAGTTGAGATTTTAAATACTGCATATTTCTTAACTACAGAAGTCAAGAGAAATATAAAATTTTTCAACCCAGCACACTTCACTCTGCTTATAACTGCTAAGTTCATATCATTTCCACTTGCTACACTAGCGCTATTTCGGTGAGAGTTCGATCAATAATTTGCTGTTTACAAGTGGACACTTTTTCGACTAATCCCCCATACGAGACCGTTCTCCTTTACTTCTACACTCCATACCCTCGAACTCGAAAAGACAGGTTTCCTTCGTCATTCGTACAACAAACAAACGGAACAATGTTAGCGTCGTCAGTCTTTCTAACCATTTATATTCTGAGCGTCTTGAAGACGAGAGTGAATATATTTTTGAACAGCTGAAGTTAAACTTCACATTGTTTAATTATTTTTACATAAATAATAGCGCCTTTTTACATCCGTACCCGCATAACTGAAGATGGTTGATGGATGATTCGACAATGTTTAACAAATTTAAAATTATAAGGACGGTTTATCCAGCTTGTGAAATCCTAACCTTTTCACAAGCTCTGCGCCTATAAAGCTTTATATGGTAAATAAACTGTACGCCTTATTATATTGGTAAACACTTTAATATTTCGAATTTTCGTTCCGTTGCATGCAAATAGTAGTTTATAATTTGAACTACCCAGGTAGAACAACTATATTAACGCCGTCGCGAAGCTTATTGAACGTTAATTCAATATATTCTAGCAACCCAAGTTCATATCCTGGTGACGGCACCAATGAAATTATCAATCGCAATTTCATGTCCTTATTTATCACGTTATCTATGAAGACAAACAGAAGCCTGCATATTTTCACATATGTGATGTCTGCCAATCCACGGTGCGTTCAATAGAACGTAGTTAGTTCACGACTAACGAGTGAATAAATCAACCCACCATCAGAATGGCTCAACCGATACTTGCAAAACTTATATTTTTAAAGCCACTTTTCAATAATTTTACAAAGATTGTTATTTTTTTTTTATATTGTGCTGAATGGAATAGATATAGTTTATTCCAATCATTCCCCCGATTCGCAACAAGGCCTTAGTGAATAAGAAGTTGGCAATCAACATACCTTGAATCTTATTAAATAACACAGAACAGTTTAAAAACTCGCGCTCTCACTCAGATACTATACCAGCCGGTGCCGCTGTCAATTGAATTAAAAAAATACTGACAAAGTGGTTATTCAATCTAATTGCTTGTAAGTGTATTCCTAGTTCTGTTACTGTACTGTAATAAAGTTATAATAACTATTTCAGGTTTCTTCGTGATGGAGGATATAAAAATACCATCTTATACCATGCTGTGGAGATAATTTACTTAGGCCTTTTCTTAATCCTCAGAGGGCTGCTTGGAACATATTTAATTTACAAAATATTATGGTCCAATTCATTTTGCCTGTATGAAAAACTGATCTCTTTATCGCTTTATTCAGTTTCAATAGTTTTCGTATATGAAATTGTTGGATATGTTGTGTACAAATACAGAAATAAAATAGTAAGTGATTAACTCGAAAGTATGAACAACAACTTTGTGCAGGGTGAGTTTATAAATATGCAAGTTTGTTATTTTTCATTTCAGGAAGAGTTTAGGGGTTTCTCAAACGAGTTGGAAGCGGTTTAAACACATAGTCATAATTTTTTTTTATTATAACTATTTACAATACTTTTAAATACACTTATAGTGCTTTGTCATTTTAAAGGATTTTTTTTTCTTGATATATTACCAGACCACACCAACAATATTTCACTCTGAAAAAATTCTCATGTAACAAAAATTTACATCTTTTAAAAAAAATTAGATATTGGCTGTCTTGAAACTTGCACATTAATAAATAAAATTTTAAAAGTGAAACATTTAACATTAAAAGTATTGATTAAGAAATAAAATGTTAAAACAACAAGAATTGTTATGTTTCTAATTACTCTCGTCTATGGTAAGCACTATTTTTTTTATGATTCCTTCTATCACGCCAGTGATTAGTGTGTTGTTTTCCCCTACCCTTATAATTGTCAATATGACTTTCCTTCTTTTGGAAGTCATCCCTATTATGTCCTTTATCTTTAGGGTAATAAGGATGATGCCTGTGTGACCAGTTACCTTGTAGACTTGCAATTGTTAACTTATCATTGTAATCATTTCTATGCACTGGATACTGAATAGCATTTTTTGTATCATCTTTTAATTGTTCAGTCATGTTGGCAAATTGTTGAGCAATGTTCGATTGATACATAAAATCCATGCATTGCTCTGCACCGTAACTCCGTATTGGTGGAGGCAATAACGTCATTCGGCCTCTGGATTGAAGGCTCAGAGTCCTATGATATAACGCCGTTCCCCGGAACAACTGAAGTGCATAAGGCACAGATACTTCATGGCAATAAGTTATAAAAGCGAAATTCTTTTGCCGACCATCTCTGTCCCGGGGTATTCGTACCTTTTCCAATGGACCCGCCTGTAAATAAATGCAATATAGAACATTTTAACATATTCCTATTATATTAAAAACGACATTTTGGACAAGTTCAGTAAAAGTTGATAAACCTGCAGGAAGAGTTCGTAAAGTAATTCCTCCGTAGCCTGTTCTGGAAGATTTCCACACCACAGGGTTTTATTGTCTTCATCAATCATGGTCCGAATTTATAACTTTTATTACACTTTAGTAACTTTACAACATTAAAGACACTAAATCAAACTAGGAAAGTTTAAATCAATAATTAGCATATTTTGAATATTTACAAACATCCAAATAAACGTTAATTTACATCAGCGAATTACGAAATTATGAAAAACAGAAACACGAAAGATCAATCAAATATGTCAAAATAAACAGATTACAGATCTCAATCGCAGCTCAACGCAACAGATAGTTCATAAAACGGAGATGCCGAAAAATATCGATATATCGATATTTTTTATTAAATTTATCGATATTTTAGCCAATATATTTTGATCCAATATATACATATAAAATATTCAATATCGAAATCGTATCAAAAACCCCAATCCATTAATCGTAAGTAGCGTCACTTACAAAACCCCACCGCTAGGTACGTTCGACACGTCCGTAGACCGCGACACGTCCTCGACTACCCTGACGATGAGACGACTATCGCCATCGACAGGATTAAAAAACTACGCAAACACATTAGAACACACCACACTCACCAGCGAGTGCGCCAAACATATACTAGGTACTGCCACGTACCTGCCAGGTTTTCCGCATTATTAATAGAAAGAAGCATTGCTGGAGTCATGATAACGCGTAACCGAGGTTACGGTAAGGTGCCCCGAGCGCCCGGCCACCTCAAGTCCGGCGAATCTGTAAAGGCCCCTATAGCCAACAATGGTACATCCTGGCAAAAAAAAAAAAGAGGAAAAAATTCTTTTTTTTCTCTTTCTTTTTTTATTTAATACGTTTGTTTTGGCATACATTTTTGTTTAGACAATTGATTTAAGAGAAGATATCGACATTTTCTCTTCTATGTATCTAGGCCGATATTGATATTATAATAAATATCGACATACCCAATATTCTTCACTTTCGGCATCCCTTTGATAAAAACTTCAAGTAAAGGAATATTTTTATTATAATTTTGTTACAAACCAAAATTCAAAATACTCTGTATTTAAGAGATATAAGATTTCCTAATCTATCTCTCATTCTATCATTATGAGAAATTAATTGAACCTACATACATTGTTATTTCTTGCATTAATAAATGGATTTTTTGTAAATATTGGAAAAGTATGAAAACTTAGATTCTGTGACAAAGTGCAATGATAACGTTTTATTAAACTATATGCCTTCATGATTGGGAAAGATAGTTATAATTTTCTTTGACGATGTTTTCTCTAATTGTCTATGGTCTATGGCCTCTTGTGAGTCGTGCGGAAAATTAATAATCCTAGAGATGGGTCGTTGTAGGTTTTTTCGTAAACTTAACATTAACGTTGATTTATTCCCGTTAACTAGTTAATCAACTAGTTAGATTTGTCAATTAGTTGACGTGATACTAATTTTAATTAACATTAATGAACAGCTTTTAATTGCCGCTGCTACGTTCGACAAGTCTAAATCAATGATAAATGATTAATATATACAATTACAAATTAATAAATTTATAAAAGAAGACATCTTAAAGATGAAGTAAATTTCTGATAATGTTTATGATAAGTCACTAAATATCTCTGACCTTGCGCGCAGGTTTTCACAGATTGTCTAATAAAAATTTAAGAAAGCAAACCTAAACATGTCGTTTGTAAAAGTAAAGAAACAATTCGTGGAATTAATGCGAATAGTGCCAATTCCAAAAATATCGTAATCTTTTTCTAAAAAATATTTTACAAATAATTATCATGAATAAATAATTAATAAATAAATAATTAACAATCCCGAAATAATTTCGGGAATGTTTTTTTTTTTTTTTTTTTTTTTTATTGTGGCATTTTGTTATTTCGGGAATGTTATTTTCAACTTAACTTTTTAAAATAAAAATATTCAGTTCGTGACGATGGTGTTCATCGAGTCTATTTTATTCAACCCAAAATCAAGTAATTGATTTTATGAAAGTTTAACGTTAATACGTTGACAAGAGATCAACCGTTGATTTAACTACTTCGTTGATTCAACGCACATACATCGCTAAATCGCTAGTTCGCTAATGTGTTCTGTGTCTACGGCCGTCATCGTAGTACGTACGGTAATTAGCATAGCTTTTGTAACTTTGTATTTTGTGCAGACTCAAATCGACTTCAAAATAATAAAAAATAAAAGACCACCGTTTTATTTTGAAGCTAAAACCTTTCATTATTAGTTAAAATCTTTTAATTATTAAGGTAACGTCAGCGTCGTCTACATAATTTCGGAAAAAGCATGCAAAATACCGAAATGGATCAATGTGTACGTATTGGAGGACCTCAAAAATATTGAATCATAGCAGCTTGTTCTCGTTACTTGTAATTTTTGGGCTTCTTTTAAAGGTCAAACAACGAGGTGAACTATGGATGACTCCAACAAATTTCAACAAATGCAAGATGAGATGTCTAGGTAAGGCAACTATTATTCATATTAGAATAATTTGTGGCAGCTTAAAATTCTGCTACAGCTTTTTATGGCTTAGAGATATTATTATGTGTTAAAAATTGCTGGTTTTCTTAGGGTTCCGTAACTTAAAAGGCAAAAAAGAAACCCTTATAGGATCACTCTCTTGTTCCTTCTGCCTATCCGTATGTCACCACCGATTTTCTCAGGAACTTGTAGATCTGGCAAGTGGAAATTTATACCAGATACTGAGATCTATAGGCCCTATTAGGTGTATAAAAATCAAGTGTAGCTGTATAAAAGTCAACACGATAATAATAAATGGGCACATTTAGATTTTCGCGAAAATTTGTAAGTACCAAAACATTTGACTTAGGACATTGAATTTTTTAAACAGTATAGGGACTCTAGACCTTAGTATCTGGTTTAAATTTTATCGCCATCCATTCCTGAGACTATCAGTGGGTGTTCGATGAGGGTAAAAAATGTAAACACTATTTGAGTGTTTTTAAAATTTGTAATAAGGTTTTTACTAAATCAATGCTTTAATAATACTGAAAATTTTTAATTACAAGATAAAAGTAAATAAAAAGTCAAATTGAAAAAGTTAGATTTATAAATTATAGCAAAAAGGTTATATACAAAGCAAACGGCCCAAACAATGGATCTATATGGAATGCTTGGCGCATGAGTACGAATCACACTTGATCGGTTTTTTTTTATACAACATACAGCAACAAGAACTGATGTGATATATATTGTATTGAATATTTTCAGATTTGAGGCTGAAATATCTGGATCCGAATTAATAGCCGGACCACGAGCTGTTATAAGCTCTAGTACTTTTGGCACGGCTCAACAGCGCTTAGACCGCGTTCCGCCGCCACCGCCCCCACCTTCTTTATTGCCACCACCCTTTGATCCAAATGTGATGGGAGCTCGATTAATGTATCCTGGAGTACCACCACCTCCACCACCATCATCATTGATGGTCCCTGCTTCGGTATGTACAATCCTCCCTTCTTTTATGAAGAATATTTATACATTTAGTATTAATATTTTTAGTTTTATTTCGTCTCCTATTTACAATGAGGCGCTACTACCATAACCATAAATCACACACTTATAGAGGATGACTTTTTAAAACTGTATTAAACATTTACTTTCTTTACACCAATATTTACAGAGTTATTAAACAATAAGTTTAAACAATATCTTGCAAACATAAAAAATATAAATAGTTTTGGATGTCTTCAATGGACAGGTGTCCATATGAAGTGACATAAATATTATTGTGGATACAATAAAAATGCAATGAACAAACAATACTGGGTATAACAGAAAATTTGGATTATTGATTCATCAAAATGATTCTAATTGATTTTTATAGAAGTAAATGACTTTTAATGGACCAAGTATAGCCAATAAAATTCTATTTTCATTCAATGAAACTTCTAAAGCTTAACTTTAGAAGCATAGTCTACACAGCATTTTGTATTCAATGAAATAATCCTTATCGTAAATAAAAATATTTTTATACAAATATTTTTATAGGAAATATATATAAAGACATTGAAATGACCGTGCAGATAAATTTTACAGGTACAAAGACTGAGGCCTCCGGGTCCTACAGAATCCTACCCCGGCCCAATACCGTTCCTCCGCCCAGGATTACCGGGACCGCAGCTCATACCTCCCCCACCACCTAAACCGCAGCCTGTCGTACTTTCCGCTGCCCCCAAATTATACAAACAACCCAAAGAAGATGAAGAAAAAAAAGACAAGGAAAGCAAGAAAAGGGTTAGTGAAATTGCACATTTTTTTATTAGCAACTATGATTTTCGAAGACACTTATTATAAAAAAGTGTCTTCGAAAATCATAGTTGCTTCACTTCCCCATAGACTTGTTTTAGAATTGGCAATTTTATCAGTTCATGAGAGTCAATAAAAAACTTATTGTGACACTCGGTCCTCTCAGGTCTAGCACCACTTGCCTAGTATAAAAAGTTAAATTAAAATAACCGCCTATTTGATGATTTCATAATGCAGTTGCCAAGGTATTGGATATGGTGCCGGTGGCTCCAGGCTATGACCTTGTGTTTTTCATGTTTTTTTTTAATTCAAACCTAGTGCCAGGACAGTGATCTATGACAGCATGGATATCCTCATTGTCTCCGTACTAGATTGGTTTATTTGTCAATGTGCAGTCATGAGTTTATAAAACCACATGTTATTACTCCACATAACCCTCAAAAACACTTCGATTTATGTTCCAGAAGCGCGAACGTGAGCCTTCGCCACTTCCAGAGCCGTTGGTGGAACCCGAGCCTATGCCTGCGCCCCCACCGGCCCCAGCACCTCCAATCATCACCTCTTCCGACACCGCACCGAAACTTAAGAAAGAGAAGAAACATCGAAAGGTAATAACCATTGATTATATTTTGTTATCCTTATGATTATGTACATACTATATACAGTGTGTTGTAACAACCGCGACAATAAATGAACACACATATAGAGGATAACTTTTTAAAATTGTATTAAGCAACAAAATTCTTTAAATTGCATTATTTTTTATTAAGATAGTATTAAATTTTTTGTTAATCTCTCACTTTTCATATTTGTTCTTTCCTGTTAATAATAATCTCTAAATTTAAAATAACAATTCCTATGCATGAAAGTTGAACAAGGTTCCTTTAAAATTCCAGGTAATTAGAACTGCTGGAGGTCAAGTGTGGGAGGATGTGACACTGTTGGATTGGCCGGATGACGACTTCCGGATGTTCTGTGGAGACCTGGGCAATGATGTTACTGATGAACTGCTTGTAAGTTTCAATTACTACATTCCACTGTACATTCTGTTTTTCCATGAAAGTGCTAGTTTGTCTGGTAAAGTATTATGGCTTCACAGAAGAGCAGCATATTTTTCCTTTATGTGAGAAGGTGGCAAGCGAACTTGCGGGTCCTCTGATGTTAAGTGATACTCCGTCCATAGATATTTGCAACACTTATAGGGTTGCAGATGCATTGCCACCTTTTAATAAAGTGGTCTCCAGTTACCTCACTCACCAGACGAAATGCAGAAGTATAACACTCCTACTTCATGCTGGTTCTGTACGATCCTGGTACTGTCCCTGACGAACATGCCCATTCGTGCAACAGACCTGCGTGACCCTACCACATATACAGCGTGTCATTACAACCGTGACAATAAATGAACACACATATAGAGGATAACTTTTTAAAATTGTATTAAGCATTTACATTCTTTAAATATCAATGTTTACTGAGTTATTAAAATTTTCCAAAACAAAGATTTTTAGAAAACCCTTACATATAAAACTTCAACGTAAAGTTCATTTGTAAAGGTCACAAAGCATATGAATGGGTTGAATGAATTTAAAAGAGATAAAACATATAACGATAAAATATAAGAGATAAAATATATTTTTTTAATTATGGATTTTTATATTTTTTATGATTATTGGCAAGTAGCGTTAGACGTGTGTTCATTTATTGTCGCGGTTGTAACGACACGCTGTATATGTGGCACGAATAATATCTTCTTGTATATTTTTCAATTTTGTGTAATTTGTATGAAAGGTTGCATAATTTACATTTTGGATCTTCTACTGATGTTTTGTATTACCTAATAAAACAATTGTAACATAATTATGGCTTTCACAGACAAGAACATTCAGTAAATACAGTTCGTTCCAAAGGGCAAAAGTTGTAAGGGACAAACGAACAAACAAAAGCAAAGGTTTTGGATTTGTCAGTTTCAAAGATCCAGGTGATTTTATTAAAGCCATGAAAGAAATGGATGGTGAGTTTTCAGTTTTATATTATTTACTTTTAGTGTTGAATTGAGCTTTTAAAATTGACTAATTGTTCATTAGTTAAAATATAAATTGTTATATATATAATTTTTCTGTGTGTGAAATTTTGTGTCTTCAGGTGGCTTTGAGTTGGTTTACATTCACAATTCAGTCCACTGCTATCCTTTATTTATAAGTTGTCAGATTTAAGTTGTGTGTACCAACCAACCATTCCATATCTATAAGTTATATATTTTAAAACTTATTCAGTACAATATTTTTAGCCACTTTCCTGCTATTTTATTTTATTTTCTTGATTCTGCAGGTCGATATGTTGGGAGCAGGCCTATAAAGCTTAGAAAAAGCACATGGAAGAACAGAGCTTTAGATGTAGTGAGAAGAAAGGAGAAAGAGAAAGCTGCATTGCTCTCTTTACTCATGTCCGGCAACAAGAGCTGATAGCCGAAACGTTTGACTGTCTAGATCCTCATAATTACACTATATAGTTATTCTTTTTTTTAATTTATAATACTCTCTGTTTAACCATCTGTCACTTATGAATGTAGTGTCTCAAATGGTAATGCGTAACCAGTATCTTTGCCACATTACTCTTTAAGGTTAGCATTTAATTAAGATCTGGTATGGTATTTGATCATAAAAAGAAGAGATTTTTGGGAAGCCAAAAGATGCATAATATAAGCTCACGCTAAAATTAATGGTAGCAATAATAAAATCTTCAAATATGTTTGTTTTAAGAAAAATCTGGTTGGTTCTCTTAGTGATGTAGCTATGCCTTACGTTGGTTTTGTAAAATATGGGGGCGGTGAGAACCGTCCTGGAACATGGGTGTACCTAATGTACGTGTTGTGTTGGTTTCGCCGTGCTCGAAGGCGAGGACGAACTATGGTGTTTGTTGATGCACTAACTGAGTGTAGTGTTATTTGGCGGGACCCCTGAGGTGGGTACTTAAGTCCCCTTTCTTGACCCAGATGAGGACGTTGCGCGGGAGACGCGTGTTGACGTTCGCGTTAATGTCGGGTCGGTAATTTGCTGCGAATTTAGCTTGCACAATTGCTATTGGCCTATTTATAAAAATTTCGGCCATTTTTCATTTAAAGATGAAATGGAGAGTAGTACTAATAATTTTTGATTTTGAAATAATATCAGTTTAAGGTAATTAAGCTACTCTGGTAAAAGGGTAAAGAAGTGATAATTAAAGATCGCTGGCATCCTATGGCTCCCATGTCTTGCAGAGGCTTCAATTAGTATTTAAGTAAACTCTTGATAAATTCATTCATTTGTGAATAATTTTTTGAATAAAAGAAACCATAGCTGTAAATGTTTCTGAGTGCAGCTTATAAACCGGGTATAAGAAATGACAGACGAATAAAGTCGAAATGATGTATGAGAAAGGGGAACTTCGATTAACGATATTTTTTTTAATCTGATTCTGTTTTAAATGCACACGAATAACTTTATCTGTTGAATGTTAAATGATTTTAAACTTATTATCTATGACATTTTATACGGAATACAACTGTTCTTAACGCACCCAAAGTAAAGCCACTAAAAAAATCCAATTGGGACGTCTCGTTGTTAGGGTTCCGTACCCAAAGGATAAAACGGGACCTACTTTAACATAAAATATCAATGATTATGACTCAATGCCGAGCGGGTTAGAGGAGTCAAATGAATCAAACAACTAAACTCGATTAATTAAAAATATTTATTTTTTATCATTGACAGTCTTTGGCTCAACATCGTTGATCTATTTTTTAAACAAATATTAAGAAAGATATTTACTTAAATAAGTTTGAAGAGCTGTTAGATTAGAGTCGGTAATTTTAGTTGGACAATCGCTTCTCTTAATAATATTAATGAGTATTTCTTTACCACAATGCTTTAATTGTTTTATGGAATAAATTAAAATATAGTACAAGTACAAAGAGGGACCAGGAAATTAAAAAAAAAAACTTTAAGTTGCGGTTTACAAGATAATTTAAAAAGTAGGGATATGTGCAGAGATTCTATATTCACGTTTATATGACTGAACACCAATGTTTAAAAGTTCAGCAGAACTTCGAAGCAGCAAAAACGGTTTTTGATTATATTTTGCTCGTTTACATATTACATACACGATAATATTGAACGAGAAACAACTATCAATGAAAACCAAGTCATCATTACTAATAACTATCGTAACTAAATATTAACCACCTTAACTTATTGGTAAATCATAAACTAGTTATCAGTCGATCAATTAACTACAGTCCCTAAGATATTATTTGTACGGCGATTTATACATTTCACTTTCTTAAAATTAATATAAACATTTTAAAATGAAATTATAGTGAGATGAGAACAAACATCAAAAGAGAACGATTGAAATGTCTGTCTAATTATCAGTTAAACGCTTGAAAATCTTATTATTGTTATAATCTTATTACATTATTTGATTTGACATAGTATTAACTTTATAAAATGTACTTGTTCTGATTGTTTTATATAATATTAATTTCGGATCAGAAACCCCGAAACCAACTGTGAGGTTTCTGATGTTTACTATGTTCTTCGTCGGTCAGGTACAACTTGTTACCTAAAAGGTACTACCGGATAAGACAAGTGGTAAAAAAATAAATAATGCTTTTAAATTAGTTTTCTTTTGAAAACCGACTAAAAACAACAACTACTACAGTGAATTTAATTACAATACATGAATGAAATCAATGCCCTCGCAATCCTCGAAATATTAGCCCAATTCGCACTGGCTTCACTTAACTGAGCAATTTTTTTTTTATTTATTTTATTTTATTTAGCAAATCAAACATCTCTATCTTAAAACGTGTTATTATCCGTGGAGTTGTAATCGGGGTCCGAATAATCTCTGGACTTATGAACGGGCGCTGTATAATCTGCGGAGTTGTGTTCGTGCGCATAATCTGTGCCGTCGGGTTTGACGCGGCGTGCTCGTAGCCGGACCAACGGACGGGGGCGTCCCCTCTGCGGGGCGGCAGTGGCCGCGGCCGCGTACTGCTTGTCCAGACAGCACCGGGGGTCCCCCTCCGCGAGCCCCGACGTCGCGGGGCAAAACGGAGTCGAGAAGTCCTCAAGACAGTACGCGCCCGACGCTCTGGGATTAGGAAACGGATACGATAGACTGATACTGCCCAAAAACCTATGTTCGTACCTGCCTCTTCTGGTTTCAAACCAGAAGACTGGTTCGAATCCCGCAGCGCCGAAAGTTTTAGTTCATTTGTTTACAAAATTTAATTTAGTGTGTCAGTATGTTTATCAGTTACCTAGGGATTTTTTTATGTGAGAAGGTAGCAAGTGCGCTGGCTGTTCACCCGAAGTTAAGCGATGACCGCCGCCCATTGACATTGGCAACACCCGTAGGGTTGCGTTGCCGCCTTTTAATAAAGTGCGCCCGGCAGGAGGTAGTGGTACTTACCCGGACAGACTTGCCTATTCGTGTAATAGAGAAGTTTCGCGTAGCATTATCACGGTCAGTGTGCCATACTACGAGTAGATAACGTTGTGTAAATTGCCCTAAAATATTTCATTTATTTAGTTTGCCATGTGTCCCTTCACTGTAAATTAATTGCCTGATGAATCTCAAGCAAAAAAGACTTCGTTGTAATTTATCACCATCTACAAGCTCAAAATTCATTTGCAAATGACGACGCGCAGCTATCGACTCTATTCGACGACTCTATTACCAAAAAAAAAAAAATGCGCCCACCCATAAACCCCAAGCGTTGCAACAAACATCTTTACAGATAGATCATTTCATCACTATCATTGGACACAGAGTGATGATGATGTTAAAATTCTGTACCTCAGAGGTCAACAGCATTATGTGATAAAACGAAAATATTACAGGAGGGGTAAAAATGCGTGAGTGAATCCTTCAATGCATTATTGATAATAATTAGGCGTCGTGGGACTTAATACTTTATACTATTGTGTAGGATTTGTTCTTGCGATTTTAATGGTGTAAGATAAATTTTGAAAAATGTGGAGTTATAATTGTATGCCTATTGAGGTACATAATTGGCGGACCCAACAAGCGAACTCACGTCATTGGCGCCGGTTGGCCTAACAGCACTGGCAGTGCGGCTGCGCGCGCCGGCGGCACCCGCACCGAGCAGCGCCGCCCGCAAGGCGCCGCCTCCCGCGCTTTGAACAGGCTCTCCGCCTGGTAGCAGATCGACCACACGTGGCTGCAGAGCGCCTCGTCTGGGGGCGGAAGCGGGACGTGCTTCAATCAAGACGGCGAGTGGGACGTGCTTGAATCAAGTTCGCTCATTTTCTGTTCAGTCTTCCGAAGCCCGGGAGCGAAAGTGGGATATGTTGAATCGTGTTCCCTCATTCAATGATCAGTCTTTCGAAGCTAGTGAAAAGTAGAGCCTATGAAAGGCACACTTGATACCTAGAAGCATTCTCTACACGTTCGCTAATTAGTACGGCCAATGAAAAATAGACGCTATAAAAGGTGAACTTGATGCTATGAAACTGTCTCTACACATACAATTAACAATCTTTCGATGGTAAATCCAATTAAAATCATCCTAAAGTAAAGGCAATATTTTTCAAATAGAAAAAAAATGGTTTGAGATAACCGTCTTGGATGGATGAGATAGGAAGTGTGGGAAGGTTTGGAAAGGACTGAAAGTGCTGATCATGCTAAATGGTTGAGTGGAGGGCGACAAAGGAATTTCTAGTTGCTATAATACAATATAAAGCAAATAAAAATACAGTTACACATTATTTACATTATACAGTTTAAAAAGGACAAACTCAATACCATTCTTGTACATTCATTATCTAACAAACATCAGTAATAATGGGACTTTAATGCAGATTTCATACCTTTTATCTATACATACACACTATCTGTTGATCAATCATTTATCCGCTTAATTATCCAGCCTTCATAATAATTTATTATTTTAAATGCCAGCCAACACAGAACTCGTCATTTCCCGGTTCATTTCCTTTAACAAAACTTACCATTAAACCAACCCCAGTCGACTTTAAATCTAAAAGCGACGGTGTCCAACCGATTGGAAATCCAAACCTTAGCTCGGGGCGTTTGGGGCGACTGTCCTTATCCGATTCCAAATTCAAACGTGGGTTCGGTGAGTTTGGGGTGACTATCCTCACCCAATTCCAAATTCAAATGAGAGTTCGGGGAGCTTGGGGCGACTGTGCCCAACCGATTGCAAATCCAAACGTGAGTTCTGGGAGCTTGAGGCGACTGTGCCCGGCCGATTGCAAATCCAAACGTAAGTTAATACAAACGCGAGTTCGACGCTTGGGGTGACTCACTGGGGGTGTCCTCGCAGTAGGGCTGGCTCCGGCCCCCGTTGAGGCAGAAGTCGGCGTGGCCGAGACGCGCCGCCTCGCCGTAGCGGCCGGCGTTTGTGTGCAGCACGTGCACGGCGCGCGCGTCGCCCGGGTCCAGCCGGAGGGCGGGCGCGGACCGTATCAGCGGGCGGGCCGGGTCCAGACCTGCGGGATAGTTGGCCACGCGAATCATTGAGTGTCTTTTTTTTTGTTTACACTAATTTTATACTACGATTATGTTTTCCGTTTGTGAATTGGTGTTGTGTGATGTCTTGCATAAATGGTTTCTATTCTGTTCTCTTCTATTATATTTAATAATGTGTAAGTAAGGTGTAAGGGAGGCCTATGTTCAGCAGTGGACTCAAACAGGCTGAAATGATGATGATGATAAAGTAAAGTGTCGTAAAGTTCGCCGCTGTCAGGAATCGCTTATTCAGACGTTCTAGCCACTAAACTAAGCGGTTGACTTAGACTTAGAAATGCTTGGCATTATCTAATGTGATTTCTTTACAGCAATCACACTTTTTCAAATAGACAGTGCAACAACTTCATGGGGATCAGCTTTTCGTTTTCACCGACTGAGGCACTCAGCCCCAGAGTGAGATATTACGAGGATCGTCTGCGATTTCAACCAACGGATGATCCGATTCAGCATGAAGTGGAGGTAGTTCGCGCTAATGCTCACATTAACCCAGAGTGAGTTATTAGGAGGATCGTGTGCGTCTTCAACCAACCGATGATGCGGTTCAGCCTGAAGTTGAGGTAGTTCGCGATGATGCCGCACATGTGCGCGCCGAGCGAGTGGCCCACGCAGGTGAGCCTGTCGGGGCGCAGCCCTGCCTGCCGCAGGCTGCCCAGGGCCTCCGCGGCGCACCGCGCCACCGGCCGCAGGTTGTGCACCGCGGCGACGTAGCAAGGCGGCTGGCACAGCGCGCCCCAGTCCAGCATGAACACGTTGTAACCCCCGCGCCGGAGGTACGCTGTTGGGGAGACATTCGCAGTTAAGCAACACGCTTATAAACTTAACATCGTCTACACATGTGACACGTAGACCGTAAAGGAAAATAATAATATTAATAGATGCAATCGTTGTCTTCTACCATATTTAGTTTGGTAAAGTTTGCGTGTTTCATTGATTTACGTTGTGATCCAAGACTTTTAAAGATTTATGGTTGTCAGGTTAAATAGTTCGTTACGCAGCGTATATAAAATGTTTCAGTGAAGCTAGTTTTAATTACATAAAAAATATTTAGCATTTTAAATAAAAACCTAGCACTATCGCCAGCATCAACACTCTCGATCAAACTTTGATAAGAACCAGATTATAATTTATCAATAACCGTTAAGCTTTCTTGCAAATTACTGGATACCAGCAATAGTTTTACTACAATTATCGCAACTAATTGTTATGGCTAACGTCGGTACGGTTTAATGAATTAATTTTAAGTGAAGTTTGTACAAGCTGATATCTCCTTGTGATTAAATTTCCCGGCATGTTGATCACTAGATAGACAGGAAGAAAAGTCACTACCCGATTCCTTCGAGTCCAAGAATAACGAGTTTCTCTTTAACACCATATAATAAACAAGGAGATAGTTTGCGACAAACTAGATTTACTTGCGTAACATTACAGAATTCCTGAGTCAATACTTCGCCATACATACGGAATGTTGTAATCAACTATAACCATGGCAAATAGTAGTAGCAAACATTTGCTTGCGTCAAACGACAAGCAATAGGTTTATTTTAATTGAACTTCATATAAATCTGTCAATTTATATCGCTGCTTTGTTTTTGTAGTATTTGAGTGGCTATAACAATGAACTTGGAACAAAAATTAAGACATTATAAAAAGTTAGATTCATTTTAGGGAACTCAATATTATTAAATTTAGCTATAGTTATAAATTACATATGTCTCCTCGTGTTCGTTTAACTATTAATTCAAGTGCAGGCGGTTCGATTTCAAATCAATGTTGCGAGAATACATGCAAGAACTTGCACATTAGCACACTCCATTGTATTATGTTACCATAGTGATATATGGCATAGAGATAAATTACGCATGAAGTGGACGTTTTATAGTGATCGCTTTTAATAATTAGTCTAGGTCGCGCAATATGTACATGTTTATAGTCGCTTTTTAACATAACGATTTCTCATGCTTACGCGAATATTGTAGAAGATTATTTGTGTCATAGATATTACCTATGAGTTTAGGACGTTACGCAGGCCCATGATAGCTCAGCATCCGAACGCTCGCTTTTAATTCAATATACTCTAGCAACCCGAGTTCAAATCCCGGTGCCAGCACCAATGAAATTGTCAATTTTAAGTGCTGAATTATCAAGTGCTCAGCGGTGAAGGAAAACGTCACGAGGGAATCTGCATATTTTCGAACTAATAACAAAAAAGGTATTTCAAAGATATGTGAAGTCTGCCAATCCACAGTGGGGTCGCGTGGCGGACTATGCCTTGATGCCATCTGTACAGAAGAGACCTTTGCGCAGCTGTGGGACTTGTACAGGCTGTTACTTTACTCTTTTTACTTAAGTTAGGACGTTGGAATTAAACCAACCTTTTGGAACATATGCAAATTGCATTACTGACCACCAATGTGTAAAATGAACTCGAAGAAGACATGCAACAAATACTTTAAATTTTCGCTACAAACGGCGAAAGCAGTGAGAAATGTGCGATGTGCATAAGCATCTCGTAAAACCAAAGTAACCAGGATCGCTTTCACTCTCCTTGCTAAGCCGCTTTATGGATGCGTCAGCGTTGTTTATGGCGTATTAAATATTTTTATGTACAGTTGTATCACCAAATTTGCAAATGATCTTCTTAAATTTACTGAAATGCAGCAAACCAAGATTGGGGACGCACAATTCGATGCGATATTTTAGAATATTGATACATCACAATACTATATCGATATTTGATACTTTGGTCATAAGATATTCCTGCATGTATCGTATAACGAAAAGATACAAATATATCGAATTCATCTATATGCGTATACATATAAAACAAAAAAAAGAATATTACATATTTACCACAAGATGGCAAAAAAGCAATGGCAAATTCAGAACGCAAAAACAGGCTACATCTAAAAACTTACTATTTTTGTTAAAGTTCTGATGCCAGTGGTAATTTTAAAAAACGTACTTTTTATTATTGAAAATAAAAAAAATACAAAATACCCTAAATGTTATGGGTGATGATTTTTTGGCAATCCCCAAACAAGACGTACGACATTAAAATAAATATACAGATAAAAGAATAATTTATCATTTAGTTTCAATTAGTGAAAAAAATTAGTAACAATTTTTATCCTGTTCCTGTATACCACGCCCGAAGAAAAAAATAAAAAAAATGTAAACTTAATTCTATGGATATCTACTAATTTATTATTATAATTATAGCTTCTTCGGCTTTTAATAAAAGAATTTGCAACCATTCACTTTTTAGAAATAGTGTCTGAAATTGTAATTGCGATATCGTTTCTACAAAAAGCTTTATTCTTTATTTTTCATGCAAAAGAGTTCAACGAAATCTTTTTATGAGTTTATTATTCTATATTTAATCTTTTCTTGTTTACCGTGTACTTTAGTATTCGTATTATTTCATCCACGTATTACTATGCACGGAAGTCCTTCGTAAATTCGAATTAAAATTTCATACAAATAACGTTCCACGGTGCAACATCGTGATAAAATTACGAAGGATAAAGTTATGTAATCATTTTAACATGCTCCATATGTCGTTTACTTTCACTTGGACTTGTTAATTTGCGGTTATCATTGTATTATAAAAGACCTCATTTAATTTCTTTCGTTAAATAATATCCATGCTTTAACTGAAAATCTTACTAAAAATCATGATGTGATGCGGTAATTCCTTAATTATTTATTAATGTAATTTAATTTAAGGTAATTCAATTTTGATCAGACTATTTATGGGATTTCACGTGTGATTTGATCATTTTTCAATCATTACGATGGAGAGCTATATTATAATTTTAAATAATTACGTACCTATATAAAATTATATACAAATAATGCTCTTATAAAAATATACATATGAATTTGGCCAACATTCGGTAAATTGACCTAACCGAGTTAAAGGCCTTTACGAACAAATTAAACAAAAAAAAAGTCAGCGCCAGAAAAATTATTTGTTAATCATATAAACATTTGTCTGGTGTGGGGATTGAATCCATGATTAAAGATAACGAAACCTATAGTTAAAGATTTTGCTTGTCTTACAAATATTAGCCACTCGTTTTATTTATTAAGAATTGTCAAGATAGATAAGGCTTATTAGATAACGATCCTAATGACGGCTGGGCAAAGGACACTACAGATTATGGGCTGGGACAATACCTTTACCCATAGTAGGGCTCGCAATGATAATAATAATTATACGTGCCGATGATATTTTATACATCGTATTTATAGGAGTTTAAGAATCATAGCATTCAATACCTATTCGGCGATCGTTCAAACAAATTTCCTGAATAAAACATAGAGCCTTTCATTTTAGTTTTGTTTCTGAAGTTTTTGGTTTATTTATATTTTAGAGTAGGACTCCAAAGCATTTATTTCAATATGTATTTCTTTGTCAAAATTTTTTTTTTCAAGTAAATATGGGTGAAATATGATAATGGTACCCTAGTACTCACCATCTCTGAGTACAATGATGGGCAGCGTGTCGTCTCCACCCGCGTATCCGTGGATTAGGAGGATGGTCTCGTGCGAAGGCTCCCAGCCACTCTGACGCAGCCAGTCCTCGCTGAACAGATCGACCTGCACATGGACACATGCATTTATCAGTAACGAAGAAAGTATCGTCATAAAAGCAGCCGTTACTCACCGAATTGAAATTTAGGACACATTTTACACACCGAATTAGGACACAATTTCACACAACGTTCTCCAGTCCCAAACTAAGCAACGTTTGTACTATGGGTACTAAATAACTGATAAACATACTTTTTTTTGTAAATAAATACATATTATACATATATAAACACCCAGACACTAGAAAAACAGTATGTTCATCACACAATATTTTTCCAGTTGTGTGAAACGAACCCACATACTGAGGCAGAAGGCAGGTACACTACCCACTACGCCATTCGGGTCGTCAAAACGTATGTTTACATAGTTCAAAATATGTTTTTCCAAAATATGTTTTAACTTTTTTCAGAGTTCAAAGGTAAATGTAACGGGCTCAATAAATTATCTGATCAATTTATCGCCGTACTCCACACATTCCGGATAGTAACCTAGTGGTAAGACCACGTTTACGGCTGAATGGGCCACTAACATTGTGATGGGACCACGCAGTTACATCTGAATGGGCCATCCCTTTTAGAGAAGTATCACGGCCTGATAAGACCGACGTACAGTAGAAGTATTTAATTTAAATACATCTAAATTCCTATGGTTAGTGAGGTAAAGGTTCAGATGCGAGTACAATATCTCTAATCATGGTGTATTTCTATGGCATCATCACTTACCATCACATGAATCGCTCGCTTGTTTTCACCTTTTCCATAGAAGCTAAGGTAAGGAAGTAATTTTTAAAGGAAAAGCGGTTTCGTACCCAGTCGCCATTCGGAGCTACCGTTTGCCAATATTTACTCATGCACACAAATTATGTTTACATTAGTTACACATTCTTCACGTGCGCAGTACGTATGTAGGCTCCCGCGGAATTCTCCGCCCGCATTTGTTTAGTCACGAACATATGCGTATCACGTATTCGGATTGGTTCCGGCACGATTCGCCAATTTAGCTCAAAATTATGCTTAGTTTAACAAACAATCGTTGCGATAGAATCGCCATCCATCGACCTTGCTGTCATCAAAAATTTCTTTCAAGGCCTCCATTATGTTTCGTTGTTCTTTATTCCTTACTCTCAATTCCGGTGGTATTCCGTCCGTGATATTATGCCAAATCCTTACTAACATTATGAAGGCGAAATTTTGTATGTATGTTACTCTTTCACGCAAATACTGAATTGATTTTAATGAAACTACAATAATAACTTTATACATCAGAATAAGACATAGGCATTACGAATATTTTTATACATATTGGAACGAAGTTCCTTACGGCAGGCTTGGAGGGGATAGGGATTTTGCTGCGCGACCGAATTGAAAAAAAGGTGATAGTAAAACCGTAAGAAAAAATCCGTGGAATAAAACCGTTAAATGAGACGTGCGCAGGCGTGACAGTCGCATAATTTTATGTTGTCAAACAAAAATAAAGAGTTTTATTTTAGTTGATAATTTGAATTACGATGTTTTTGGGAGAACGAAGTTCCTTACGGCAGGCTTGGGGGGGATAAGGATTTTGCTGCGCGACCGAACTGAAAAAAAATGTGATAGTAAAACCGTAAGAAAAAGTGCGTGGAATAAAACCGTTAAATGAGACGTGCGCAGGCGCGACAGTCGCATAATTTTATGTTGTCAAACAAAAATAAAGAGACATATTTTGTTATTTTAGTTGATAATTTGAATTACGATGTTTTTTTATTTTAAGTAATTTATTATTTCCTAAAATACTGAATTTCCTAAATACTTTCTTGTACTTAAATAAAATCTAATCAGCAAAATTTAAGAGAAAAATCAAGAAAACCTACATAAAATTGAGCACGATTTTTTTTGCAATTTGTGTAGATTCTACATTAGCCGAAGGAACTTCGTTCCTACCTGGTGTCCCACGACACCACATCATTTTTTTTTATTTTATGTTAATCTGTCTTTCTACGCAGACGCATTTTACGCAGACGTCATTGTGGGCAGCAGCTAGTATTAATATATGTTTCAATCTATTAAATAAAAATATGTGTAAAAAATATTTTTACTCATTTAAGTTTCTTAGTTTAAATTTAAGAAACACTTAATAAAAACGCTTATTATAACATAAATGAATATATTAATGATAATAACCCTGTGAATGAATTCATCGCCCCCAAACTATATTTCTATAAAAATGTAAAAGTAAAAAGTAAAGTAACAGCCCGTACATGTCCCACTGCTGGGCAAAGGCCTCCTCTATACAGAGGGTATCAGGGTATAGTCCACCACGCGGCCCCACTGCGGCTTGGCGGACTTCACATATCTTCGAAAAATATTTTTTTATGTTATTATTTCGAAAAATATCATTCATCACGATGTTTTCCTTCACCGCGGAGCACGTGATAAGTCAGCACTTAAAGTTAAAAACTTCATTGGTGCCGGCACCGGGGATCGAACTCAGGTTGATCGAGTATATTGAATTAAAGGCGAGCGCCCGGACACTGGGCTATCACGGCTTTGTATAAAAATGTATGTTTAATATTTTAATGTTTTGAGGAAACAAAAATGATAAAATATTGATAGATAATTCTTTTATTTATTTTTCTTTATTTATTTCGCGTATTTTGTTTTGCACCAGCGTCAAACTTTCTCCACTCCCAGGGTTGACTGGAAGAGAATGCTTATTAGCATTAGGTTTGCCTTTTGTTTAGCCTTAAGTTGAGCTGCAAACAATAAATTTTTAAATAAACAAATAAAAAAAAGATGATACCTAGAAAGCTTTTTCGTCTGTTTCTTCTCCGTTAGATGAACCTCATTACGAAAAAAAGGCTATTGATAGGTGAAATTAATTTTATTTTTGATGGATAAATGATTACATCGATTACTATATCCATTCATTCAATTTTCTTCTTTCTCTCGCCTTTATCCCACCTAAGTGGGGTTGGCAAGTCCTTATAAATAAACTCCTACAGAACCATTATTTGTGGGTCACACAAATACTTGTCCCGTGTGGGAGACGAAACCATGATCCCGGACGTCGAAGTCAATATCTTAGTAAATGAGCAAACTATATACTCGTACTTATAACGATATACTTATAATTTTATTTATCCATTTTATAGGTTGAGTATTTTGTTCCCTGTAATATTTATTTTCAGTCACATGAAATGTATAGTGCTTTTATAGATATTGAAAAATATTTAATGTTTCTGTAACGTAAGCGTGAACGGAAGTTTATTTTTATTTTGTCTTAACTTTATTCGATATAGCAATCTCCTCGGCGGTCAATAAGGTCACGAAACACAGCAAATAACAATCCTTAAACGATAAAGATTAGTTCTATGAGTTACAACAGTAACATATCAATATAATAGTAGAAAAATTATCATCTTACATTTGCATTTATTAGATTGCATATATTTGTCTATTTGCGAATTTAGAACGTATGTCTATGTCAGTAGTTAAAATGAAATTGACGTCTAGCGATATATCACGTATTCGGCCAGATTTTCTTCTTACTCAATTGGGTCCAAGGCCGTTCACAAGACGCATACTGTCATTGTTTACATACGAACCGCCAAGCAGGTAGTCGTTGAAACATGAATGGATTTAACCCTTGTGGACATCTAACGGTATTTTATCCTCGACAAACAAGCTCACAAAATTAAAAAGAAATATCACGTGATCGTAACCAAATATCATTTGAAGACCTTTAAAGTTTCAAATTGCAAAGTTTTTTTTAAACTAGTAGTCATACAGAAAATGTTCTTGGAAAGAGTAGTGAAAAATTTTAAGTCTCTACCTAGAGATATGTCCTATGTTTTACATTCTGAACTCTAGTATAACAGTTGTTTTGTATCTTTGAAATCCATTAATTATTATTATATACGAAGGATGAGCAACGCGCGGCCCGTTAATTTTTATGCGGCCCGTCAAGTATTTCTAAAATTGAATTTATTTATCGAATTTCTCCCATCAATATATTGTTATAAAATTAATTATAATAAAATGGTAGTACATCCTGAACCGAAATATTTTTTGTTCTTTTCTTGTTTGTTTTTACCTTACATTAAAATTTGTATATGAAATCTTTACTTTTTTTTAATTTTATATTTTATTATTCTAATATTTATTATAAATAAAGTTTCGTAAATTGTAATGTGCAGCCCGCCAAAAAAATTTTAAATTTAAATTGACTCATTGATTGAAAATGTTGCTCACCCCTGTTATATACATTTATTATGAAATGTATATATTTCAAGACCACCACAACGCTTATACGCGGTGAAATTATCATGTATTTTTATATATTTTACGCTTATTACACAATAGAGATGTTTCTTATTCAGCTGCGGTTGAATTCTATTTCTGTTTTGTTTTGTTAGTGAAAAGAAAGTGTGGCCTTTTAGAAATCGATAGAAAAACTGTTTTGTATTCTCCGCCGGTGACAGTAACGGTGAGGTGTGCGCGTTCTGTCACAGGTGGTTCGAGGGTACCATTTTAGCTTCGGGCCTAAACGTGCCACGGACTGTATCGATTACCTGATTTTGTGATCCACTTTGTTGTATTATTTATGTGTGTAACAAAGGGTATTCATTGTAAGGAGCGCACACGCAAACAAACCCATAAGGACTTGTATTTGGAGTTTTGAGCGTAAATATCTTTTGCGACTTTGCGAAGACGACGTGTTTTAGAATTTGGATCTCATTTAATTAATCTATAACTTTGGGCAAGATATAAAATATCTATTAATATTTTTTTCAATTGGGAAATGGTGGTGGAGGTGAAGAAACGCGATTAGTATATACACCTAAAAAGTCAACAAAAAATCTGTTCTATATGAATAACAAATATTTTCGTATTTTAGTACAACAATTTTTTTTTTCAAATGCGAGGTGTGTGGTAAACCTACACAGCCTTAATGCAAAAAGTTTATATTATCTAACAACGTATATATGAAGGTTGTTTCGGCCTCGAAAAATGCCTCTTAGGTCTTCAGTGACAAGTCTTAATAACTTAGATAGGACTTCCACGAAATGATCGAATCAAAATAAAAATATATTTCTTGAGATAAGAGCCTAAGTTTATGAGCACTAGATGCAATTAAGGTTAAGTAACTTTTGACGCAATATCCAAAACAAGAGTTTGACACGTGTCTTTTTATAAGTTTAACATAAACAAAGTTTTTATAATGAATCCATTTAAAGGCAAATTAATTTAAAATAAATTTATGTTCCACAATTTGTTGCAAAAGTTCCATTTTTGGCGTTAAACCATCATTCACCGTCAACAAATTTTCACAGCAAGACAAGCACCTAGTTATTCCCATTAATTGTATTTGTAATTAAGTTTCCTAAATACTTGTCCAAATCTATCAATTTCTCACTGTGTTTCGTCCGTTAAATAGTTAAGTACTTATGTTTTAAAATTACGTCACTAGTCTTATGTTGCGTTGCCATTTACAAAAAAAGAATCAAAAGGAAAATCGATTAAGGATTCAGACAGCAGAATATATTCATTAGACATTAACATAAATCTGTAATAAAAATCGTAATATGTTGCTTTTACTGTCGAACTTCTAAACGCTTTAGTACTTTCTCTAGAATAAGGAAAGCAAACAAAAGTAATACATGATTTTTTAAAATATTTTAATACTGCTGTTTGATTAATACTTCTCTAACCAAGACGGATAGATAGAGCTTTTTAATTTTCGTAACCGTCTCTGATGACTATTCTACAAAACGCCACATATCTGAGTTATAATTTACCTCAATATGTCGTCTGTCTGGACTGCTTATTGAAATATATAAAAATAATTTTATTCACAATAACGCTCAATATAAAATCAGCAAAGGGCTTAAAAAAGATATTAAGAGATGGCGTTCGAAATCCGCTTGGAGATCGAGATCCTTTCTCCGTATATTATGTCTTAAATAATTCGCACAATGAAATAAATTAACAACGTTTTAGAGTAATTAAATGAAAATAAAAATACAATTGACGCGCATCTGACAAGTTTATACGATAGTAACATATTTCTACATAGACAGATGCATGTAAAAAAGGAAACGTAATAAATCAAAAGTGTCGTAAAGATCAAAGTGTTACAATCTTTTCTTACTTGCTCTTAATTCACAAAGTGTGCAGAGTATAACTTGCGTTAAGGAACTTTTTTATGAAAAGGAGGCAAACGAGCATGCGGGTCACCTGTTAGTAACTGAGTCACTAATGCGTTGCCGGTCTTTGTGGAAGGAATGGTCTCTCTTCTTGAAGGTTCCTAAATGGTATAGGTCGGGATACACCGCTGGTGACAACTGATTCCACAACTTGGTTATGTGTGGCAGAAAGTTAGGCGATAAACGCACAGTCGTGGACTGCCGACCATCGACGTGGCGAAATTTATTGTTAACAAGCTAATCAACATTTCAGCTATCAATCGGCGATTTATTTAGGTTTTTTATTTCCAATTTCATATGTATGTGTAAACTAACACGGCTAACACGCCTTCCCCAAACGTAAAAGTGTTTGATGTCATATGAATTTAATTTAACATATGGCAATTTTACTTAAAAATAAATGACATCGAAGAACGGTTAATTGCCTTTGTCTTTTTCACTATTCTTTTCCTGCGACTTGTGAGACATATTATGTGAGAGTTTGTAACTTAAAATTTTCGTTTGGTATTTTATTATGTTGTATTTTATAGCTTACGTAACTCCGGGTTAACGCCAACTGCCGTTCGTACGCATATTTCTAAAAACACGATTTATTTAATTTATGTAAGCGGTTTGACAGTTTCAGACATTGGTAATTTTATACAAACGTACCAGCAAACGTATTATAGAGTATGTGTGCTCTTAGGAAAACATATTTTATCACTTGGCCATTTACACTATGGCTCTGTGCGGTCTCAGATAGGGGAATGAATACGTACCACTTTCTTAATCGGCTCAGCCTCTGTGTACAAGTTAAGGGAGACGTTCGCGTCGGGGCATGGCTCCCGTTCCCGCCGCCACACGCAGTCCTCGAACGAAGCGTTGGCGTAAACATCGTTGTGCAGAAACAGCGCCTCCTTTATCGGCTTCCTTTGTGCCGCAGCATCTAGAAGTTACGCGCATATAACATGCTATATTTTTTTTATGTGAGAAGGTAGAAAGCGAGGTGGTGTATGACATTTGCAACACCCGTAGGGTTGCCGATGCGTTGCAACCTTTTAATAAAGCGGGTTCCGGTTACCTCACTCGCCAGATGCGACGTAGTGAGTAAGTGTAACACTTCCACGTCATGCCGGTCTTCTGTGAGGTCGTGGTACCTCCCTGGACGGACCTGCTCATTCGTGCAACGGCGAAAACTGTTGCGTGGCCGTACCACACTTACCGGGCGAAATATTTTAAAGCATTACGTTTAATATGCTAAGTACATTAAGAAAATAACTTTCACTATAGGACTCGGTCTTTGTTGTACGCACGGGCACGCTTGTACTGGGAAGTAGCGTGTTCTCAAAAAAGACCGGCGTGTATTTGAAGAATTATAATTCTGAGTTTCGTTTGGTGAGTGAGGTAACAGTGGGCCTATTTTTTAAAAGTGGGTGGAGCTTATCACTACTTATCACTTATCACATCAGGTAGGTCGTAAGCTCGTTTATCGCCATTTCACATAAAGAGATGTCAAATTTCCAGCCGGTTGTCTCTGGCTTGGTCTAAGTTTACGAACCATTAGTGGTTGAATAGCATTTTGAATATTTTTATTTTCGATTTCGATTGACTTTCTTAGCGAATGTAGATTAACCAAGCAATAGATGACCCGAGACTAATGAGGAAGCATCCGCCAAAAACGTAAACAATGTTTCTACTGAACATTGAGTATTACATTGAGCATTTATAATATTATAAGCGATAATGTTTTATATATAATTGTTAGTTATACATACTTGCATATATTAATATGTTTGTACTTTCTGTTTTGGTGACCATATGAAAGTTTAAATTTTAAACTTAACAAGTTTTAATTGTTAAGTTTTAAAAATGCAACCAATCAACATTATATAAATGTAATGTAAAATGTAGCGCTGAAATTAATTAAAATGAATAAAATTGATAGTAAATAAATTGCTATTATTAAAATAATGTTGCAGGGTTGTCAAATAATGTGAATGTAACAGGAAAAGGACAAAATTAGCCAATATCAACGTGAAGCGACATAAATACGAAATTACAAACGTTGCGTGGACGTACCGTCAAGTAATATCGCAACGGCAGCGATCAGAAATGGCGCGAAGGCGTCGCGTAAACCAGGCATCCTCGCCAGGCGCGCACTGTAGCAACACTGAACACGAACGCACGCGGACTGATGCAATATGAAATTCGCGCGCACCGCCCGTGTTACATATTATTTAATTAATCAAGGGTTAGAAAGGGTTTCGTAAACAGATCGTACATCGAAAGTTTGGCGTCGCACTAATGAAATTTAATTCAGTCAATATGCTGTCGCAAATATTTACATGCAATTTCACAATTTTAGTCGGAACAACCGAAAAATGAGATTATCAATAAATTTACGTAGTCGCTGTTTGTTAAGACCTCAGAATGTAATAAAAGCAGAGTCGAAAATAAGTAAATTGTAAAAGTAAATCCTGTTACTACCTCTCTCATTTTCAGGAAAGTTCTTATAACAATGACAGTTTTAGCTAAAGAATGTTTTTTTGCTAAAGACTAGTGCCATAATGGAGCATCATTAAGTTACAAAGCGAGAAATAAACTTTTTGCAATTTAAAAATTAATCGGTCACTCTACTATGTACTCTTCTGGATTAAGTTTTACCAATAACTTAATAATACAGCTAATGCTTTTGGTTTTATACCGTAAGCTATATGATAACAAATTCTTTCGATGACATATAGTATACTTTAAATACTTTGAAGTAAATATGTTTATTACAACTTATTAAACTTGTGTCCTGCTACCCTTATATTCTAAGTGATATAGTTAATATGAATAAAAAAATTAAACATAGATGACGATTGGCATAAATATAAAGAATGGAAGACTCTAATGGCAAGATTTATCGATTTTTAGATAACACTTTTAACATAGAAAATATTTTCTATTATTCAATGTATGTTTAATTTATTTCGAAAAATCCGTGAAACAGTTTTGTTTAAATATGTGTAAACGTAAAAAGATGTATTTGTGTTAAATCTGATTTTAATCTTAAACGTTCGAAACATCGGGAATTATAAAATCAATTTAAGCGGTATAAAATACATAGAATTAGTTTCATTTAATAACGCGTAGTATTTGCGGAAATACAATAAAGTGCGTAAAAGTAAGAGGCTATAAGTAGTAGATTAAATTGAAGACTGATCGCTTTCCCAGGTTTCCTCAAATGCAACTTTTAAAACCATTATTGGCCACTTAAGATTAAGAAACGCCTACATTAGAGGAATATAAAGTATATACGAATCTATACTAATATTATTATAAATATACCGATAATTTTATAATAAAACTGAAGAGTTTGTTTGAACGCGCTAATCTCTACCAGACGGATTTGAAAAAATCTTTTTACATTTGATAGTCTCTTCAGGAAGGTTATAGGGTATTTAACATTACGCTACGACCTACGAGGGCGAATCAGAAAGGTTGCTCCAGGACGAAATCTATTGGAACAATTAATAATTCATAAAGTGTAAAGGATGCTGTGTACTTGTGATCTCAGAATTGAATTAGATCATTTGTAGCGTTTGGCGTCATCTGAAGGGAGTGTAATTATTTATCGAAGATTTAGACACCTATATTAAAATTTAAGTTTAAGTGAAATCCCGTTTATAAATGAAATGCTGCAAGCATTAAGATATCTTCATTCACGTGGCTCTTGCGCTGTTATATTTGAAATAAATGTATGTTTTCCATTTGTTGGAGACAGAGTAGAAGATGATTTTTTTTGTGTGACGTGTAGTTTGCTGTTAGCTCGGTGGCTTTGACAGCTTCGGCGGAAGAGGTCCGCGGGCAGACGACCCACGGACTCGGGAGAACAACACTCTGTTAACAAAAAAGAAAAGATGGACAAACGACTAATGGCAAACAAAAACAACAAAGGGCACGAAAGATCCAAGGGCCCCTCAGATGGATTGCAATCGATATGGGGACCTATCCCTGCAAGGGATAAGGTCGTAATTGCGATTTAATCCCGAGACCTATCGACGCTGCACTGTAAGTGAAAAATATTTTCCATGTGGCAAAATATTTTTATCGCGTTATTCGGCAATGCACAAGCTCAATATAAGCCGAAATGAAATCACACACACAAATTCATCTTTAATGCGGAATTGCCGTGATAATAAGATGTATTTATAAATATTTAAAGTCTTAACGTTTGGAAAATGAGCAAAGTCATAAGAGTTTATCTAATCAATTAATGAAAAACTGTTCATAACTAAGGTCGGTACAAGGCAGTTTCAGGACTGAAATAACAGGCTTATAGATTCAAGACCTTTTTATTACCCAAGATTCAGTTTAATGCATTGACAATCCTCATATCCCGTAAACTAGTTTAGATAAAAATAAATCAAATTCTAATCAAATTAGACTATATCAATAGGTTTTTTAAAAGTCTCCGCTTTAAAGTACTCAGTAAAATTGTACTTGAAGATTTTTAAAATCGCAATTACAAAACAGTTGTGATAGCTCAGTCCGCTCGCTTTAATTCAATCTGAGTATATTGAAGCTACTAGAGTAGAGTAAGAAAGAGTTTAAATAGCAGTGGCGGTACAAGTAAAATTGTTAATTAAAATTTTAAGTACTGATATGTCACGTGCTTAGTGGTGAAGGAAAACATCGTGAGGCATGCATATTTTCGAAGTAAGTGGGGATCGCGTGGTGGAATGTGCCCTAAGCCTAATACTCTCTGTAAAAAAAAAACTACAGAGGTGGCTTTTGACCAGCGGTGGCAATCTGTGGTGGTGGTCTATGTTCAGCAGTGGACTTTAGCAGGCGGAAATGGTGATGATGATGATGATAATTGACGAAGAATATTAAATCAATGTTATAGGATGATGTTAAAATGTGTTATCAAGTATACTTATAAAAAGTTCAGATATATGTTAAATGAATCTTTTCTATTAACGAGCCGAAATAGCTCTCGGACACTGCCAGTAGTGTGCTATTTAAGTAGATAAATAAGAAAAATAATATATGAAAATGTTTAAATTAAGTTAATAAGGAGAAATATTTCAAATAAATTAAGTCTGCCAGTTCGGAGACACGCAGAATCGGGTCACGTAGTGGATTCTGTCCTAATAATTTATGTATAAAGCAGTTGCTCAGTGGAAGTGGAAAGTGGTTCGAATGTTTATATGATAGCCATAGACATTTTATATTATCCTATTTGTTAAACATAAACAACTTGTTTAATATACAATTATAAAGTGTACATAAATACTTTTAAAGTTCGCTCTTTTTAACTAAATGATTTTTAATAATTCTATGTGACACGAGAGCACGCTTAACAGAATTTTGTATAAGTAGTTGTCACTTTTAATTGTTAAACACTTAGTATAGTTGGTCGCCTAGCCGAATGTAGAGCTGATGTCTCGTCACAGTGCATTTGAAATATGAAGCGAAATCACAACGGCGTTACGTAGGAATAGGAAGGCTCTGGTTACTCGACAAAGAAGTGAATGATTGTGTTTTCGATGTGTGCGCGAGCAGGTGAGGGAGCACCCGGTAGAGCGAGACAGCGCAACAGCCTCCATTCTGTCGGGCAACGGCGCGCCAGTCAAAGCCACGCGCCCGCGCGCGCCTCCGTGCCGACTTCTATAACCTCGTTTCAATATAACAACACCACACAAAACCGCAAACTAAACAACCACGCGTGAACGAAAACAAACATACGTCGCAAACATAACACGAACGGGGTGTTTGTGAAGAGTTTTGGGAGGAACGACGATAGCTGAACGAACTAATTGTGCGAATGCCACGGTCCACAACCTACGCAGCCGGCGCTCCCCACCTCGGTTCATTCAAGGACCATTCGTTGAACCTATGCCGCTTCGGCTTTCGCGCGTATGCAACCCGGCCGAATTGGAAATGAGCCGTAGGCCGCGCGAGCTTGCGCACCGATCGAGCTGATGAATGTCCGCGCATCGGGCTCTGCTACAATGTCAATCAGCCAGAACGCGGGCCAATTCAAACAGAAACAACAACTGGGTAAACAGGGTCAAGAACCGGTCAACTTTCCACCGCGGTACCATCCGCCGCCGACCGCCGCGACGGGCTCGAAGCTGGCCACAGTCGACGCAGCCGCCAAGGAGTACAAGCCACCGTACGCCGGCAAAGCTATCGACCCCAACAAGATCCAGTATCCCCCCGGCGTGCACACCGCTGCACCGGGCCCATATCAAGGGTATCCTCACTTAAAATATCCCCAAGGCTACCCTCAGGGTTACCCCGTGCCGCCAGCGGCTCTGCGCGTGCTACGGTCCGGCGGTGAGATCGTGACGAAGGCCATCGTGCATGAGCCCGTGGAGGCAACGGCGCGCGCACGCAGCGCCGACGACACGCAGAGGCCGCAGCACAATTTAGACGAGGAGCTAATACATAGGAGGTCCGCCGACATGCTCAAGTTCACGAAGCGCATCGAAGCCGAGGGCCCGCGCGCCTCCATCGACCAGAGGCGGCAACTTCAGGCGCTTTTGGACGAGATCAAAGCGCTGAAAGAGGCCAACCGCCGCCTGAGCGAGGACAATCAGGAGCTGCGCGACCTGTGCTGCTTCCTAGACGACGACCGCCAGAAAGGCAGGAAGCTGGCCCGCGAATGGCAGCGCTTCGGCAGGTACACCGCGTCCGTCATGCGCCAAGAGGTGTCCGCGTATCAGAGTAAGTTGCGCGAGCTCGACGACAAACAGCAAGAGCTGATTCGGGACAATCTGGAGTTGAAGGAGCTGTGTCTGTATCTGGACGAGGAAAGGGAGAGGAGCGCATGCGTCAACTGCGGCCGGGCGGCTGGCAGGGAGCGCGATGACGGCGATGGTAGCAGTAGTGGTACTAACGCGGAAGAAGGCCCTCGTCCCACCAACCCCACCGTCCCGATTACGCATCCCCAGCTCGCGGAGCGAACGGTGCAGTACGTTCGCGACTTAGAGCAGAAAGTGCGCCGCTTGGAGGCTGAAAAGGGGGTGGGCAGTGGCCTCAACGAGAGACCAGAGGCGGTGGTTCGCGCCCTTCAGGTTTTGGAGGTGCGGGAGCGGGTGGAAAGGGAGAGACGGCGACCCGCACCAGATTTGGACACGGGGGAGCAGGCATTGGTGCGCGAAATGTGTAACGTTGTGTGGGGTAAGTTAGAGGACGCCCCACCGCAGGCGCCTCCACGTTAATTGACACATTAAAAGAATCATTTATAGTGTATTCGAGTGTTAAAATATCGGACGGAAGTGCTCGAAAAGCTGTTTTGAGACGCGAAACTTTTAGATTGGAATCCGACCCTATTGAGGTCAAAGCGAGCGCCGACTCTCGTGACCCACAGAGTAAACTTGTGTTGACCTTGTTTATCAATGCTTTACTAAAGTTTTTGGTGTTTAAAATAAATTAGCTGTGTTATAAATCTTGCCCATTCTAAGAATGAGAAACCTTCTGACAGGAAATTCTGTGGGAAAAGAAATCCAATAGTACAAAAATAGACTATTAAGTTTGTTTTAGATTTAATTTAATATAGCTATGCTACTTGATGCTCCTTTAAAGATAATATTTGAAATGTTTTTATTTTTATTCGTGGTTTAAAAATGAATTTTGGGAATGATTCACAACGAGGCTATATGTGTGTTACTAAAATGTATGAATGAATTATTGAAGATATTCGAAATGTAAGGTGATTATGACGAATTTAATATTTGGCAAGATTTTTGTAACTGAATTAAAAAGACACGTATGAAATATTTTTAAGAAAGTAAGCATAATATTTTTAAAATTTTTACATTAATTAACTTTTACATTAAAATTCCAATATTTTAGTATTGAAAATTACTAAATTTGTTCAATCTTACATGATTGCTCTATGTTACTAGCATATGGGGCATCGTATCAAATAATTGTGTACTTTTAATTGAAATAATTATGTTGTTTCAATATAAATGCTAATAGTTCACATTAAAAAATTAAGCCCGAAAGATGCCTAATTACTATGTTTAGGATTGTTTTTTGTCTGCACTTTGCTATGCACATTTGTGTTTGGGTTTATCCGTCATTCTCACTGTTACACAAATGCTTATCTAGTCAACTCCATAACCGTTTAATGAACAATTGACATCATGTATTCCCGTTTCTTGCATTACTAAAATTGACCCCGAAATATGTTAAATTTAATTAAGTTTATCGGAAATAAATTATTTGTGTTTTTAATTTTTATTTATTTATTTTTTAATCTTGATATTTTTTTAATAACTGAAAGAGTATCAAATTCATAAATATCATTTAAATATGTTGCCGTTTGCTGTCAAACGAAACACACTATATTATGGCATTACTTAAAATGCAATAAAAACCAAGTAGATAAACACGTTGAGATTTTCAGTATAAAGATATGTCATTTAACTCAGTGGCAGACGCAGGTTCAAATTCTCGACAACTTTTAAAAAGTAACATTCTTTAAAATATTATATACATATACTTACGTGCTTATGGAACGTGGCGAAAATGTTCAACTGTTTTAATTTTTATCGATCTAAAAAGGTATTTTATTCATATTTCCCATTTTTGTTACTACAATAGTGGGATGAGACTCTTAAGGCCCATTTACAAACTTGCACCGTGTAAATGGGTCTTTACTGTTGCACCACAGTGTACTTTATAGTATATGTAAATATATTTGTTTCACAGTCTCAGAAGAAGAGTCATCCGGTGGCTATGGATTAGCCATATGAAGGCTTTGTACACAACTAGCGAACTCGACAGATTTTGTCCTGTACACACGACTTCAATCCTACAACAACTTATAATTAAAAAATGTAAAAAATGTAGTGGACCGAATTGTGAAACTAAACCAAACTCGACCTGAAATCATAAAAAAATTCATTAAAATCGGCCCAGACGCTTCGGAGGAGTTCAGTGACACGTACAGAAGAATTATATATAAATCTCAACAGACGTTGTCTTCTACACGCGACTTAAATCCGACACTAACTTATAAATAAAAAAGTTGTAGTGTCCTAAATTGTGAATCTAAACCGTTCTCGAATAGACCTGAAGACACAAAAATTTTCATGAAAATCGGTCCAGCCGTTTCAGTGACATACACGTACAGTAGAATTATATATATAAACATGATGACGCCCCGTTTAAAAATATTTTCAACAAGCTTATTGCTCTATTTTATTTTGGATTTTGGATTTTTACGTCACAAATGACGGAAGTAACTTCTTTGATAAAACTGCCTTACTATTTACATTTATAGAAATAGTGTACAAAGAAAAAATATAAAAAGCAAAATGATAAAAAATATATCATAAATAAATCGCGCGTGTAAATTTTTCTCATTCAAAATTGTCCAACGTATCATTGTGGAATCGTACCGTATCGTTACTCAAGGAATCTTTAACTTCAATTTTTTTTTACTTAGAAAGAAAAGGCTTTTGAACAATGGTATTATCTCGTCTAATTCTGATAATATGACTTTATTTAATTTTGGCTGCAAAAATATAGGCCACTAAATTCTATGAGATGTAAAATAAAAACAAAACTGAGTTGCGACGTTAGTTTACTTATACCTAACGTTTTAATGTCATAATCATTGTTAGTTGACGTTTATGTGAATAATATCAAATAACATGCCACAAATGAAAGGAGAAGCAGGTGAAGATGAAGACACCATTGGCGTAAGATCTTCAATTTTATGGCTGTTATTCTGTTTAAGATGTTCGTTGAAATTGTACGAATAAGATAAAGTACCTGGAGGATCGAGATTTGCTCGGCTTTTTCGCTAAATCATGTATTTTGGAAATTAAAAAAATAAAAATTAAGAAAGCAATGATCTGGTATAGAAAAAAATGTAAAAAAAATGAGTGTGTAAATGATCGTGATACGAACAGCGGCCGTCTGTTTTGGCGCCGCCCGATTATCGACCGAGCTATTATAACATTTTTTTTTTGCAGCGAAATTTACCGTCATATTCGAATGATATATTTCATTTGGTCGTTTAAAGGATAAGATAGGTTTATTTGACAATTTTGATATCACGTGTTAGATCGCGTTTGGCATAACCAATACGATTTACGAAATTTGTTTAAGCAATGATACTTTAAACAAATACGAGGTATATATGACTCTATCGCAACGAAACTGAGGCACTCAAATTACTTAATAATGGAGATTTAAACAGAGGCTCCATAAAGTGAATTGTAGATAACAAATTAACGCTTCAACACGAGTAAAATGATACCGTCCAGTAAAGCTGTAGTTATTATGATGGTTGATTGTTTTGAAAACGTACATCGGTGTGGTAACAATTTTTATCTAGAAAATTTTAATTATATCTGTGACATTTGTCATTTATAAATGAATGGATTTCCTTTTGCTGCTCCGTTCAGTAACTCTTTCATAACGTTAACGCTCTTTAATTATAACGCCTGTAGATAATAAATAGCAATTATTAAATGGTTCAAAAGTAAGGCGCTTTTGTTAACAGACACGTTCAAAAAATTTGTCGAACAAATTTCACCGCATCAAATTCTGTTAATCCAATTTTAAAATCGTTGCCAACCAATCTTTGTTTTTGATAAAGATTTACGTGGGCGGTCGGAATGCTGAAGGGGATCGCCACGGTGAGGGCTGGGCGTTGCTGCCCAACGGAGATTTTTACCAAGGGTGTTACTGCCGTGGAATGAGAAACGGAAAAGGGCTGTACGTGTTTAAAAACGGCGCGCGGTATGATGGTAGGTATTTCACAACGTACATCCTTTTATATCATTTGTAATAAGTTTATAATTATCCGTTTAAACATAAAGTCTTTGTCCTTTTTTAGCCTTAAAACGCCTGTACATGATTTGTGTTACATGCCAAAGGATTTTTCATTTTCCTTTCGTAAAACTTTAAAATTAAAATTAAGATTCACTTTTACATTACCCTGAACACTATAAAATTGAGCTTCATGCTTTAAGTAATCTATGAATGTATTATCCATTTCTAAAATAATTTTATTTACATAGAAATAATTTCTTATACTGAAAATTGTTAAATATAACTATTTTACGGATTTTATTATTTGTACGTTTTCTGTCGGTTCATCGAAACTATTATGATGTGTTACTGATGTGTGATGTCCCGTATATAAGAATCGCAATAAATGATCCAACATTTTATAAAAGACCAAAATACATTGACAGACTCATAAAATCCATCAAACTACAAAGGTTAAAAAAAATTAGTTTTAAGTTGTTTTCACTAAGCAAGCTTCAATTTCCCACATGACTTGGTAAGATAGATAGTTTTTAATTTAAAGTCGTTTAAAAAATTATGCATATTTATTCGGTAAAAATATTGATTTGAAAGTTATTCTGAAATTTGATGCAGTTTATGAGTCCGTCGCTACCTTCATAATTATATTTAATTAACAATTTAACGATGTTTTGAAGTTTTCGGTTGAATGTGTCTAGCTATTGAACATACTCTCTAACATTACAGAACTTCCTAAGATGAATGAATGGACTTGACTAGCGTGGAATTTTTTGATGACAATAGGTGAATGGCGTCGCGCTATGAAATACGGCGTCGGTCACATGACGTACCCGGACGGTTCCAGCTACGAGGGCGATTGGCGCTACGACCTGAAGCAGGGTTTCGGCGCGTACTACTACCCGAACGGGGACATTTACGAGGGGGCCTGGTTCAAGGGCAAACGGCACGGCCTGGGCACGTATTTCCACGCGGAGCACCAGGTGAAGTTCATGGGCACGTGGGTCGAGGGCGTCATGGAGGGCCCCGGCCAGATCATGTACCCGCGTGTCCGCTTCCACGGCTCCTGGTGCAGGGGGCTGCCACGTGGGCCGGGCTGCTTCGTGTTCGACACGAACTGCATGCAGCACGGCTTCTACGAGCTGATCAAGGACCCGAAGCACGAGGAGTACGGCGAGGGCGAGGAGGAGAAGGATAAGGAGCAAAACGACGAGAAGCTAGGCGAAGGCGAGCAGGAAGACGAGATCGACGATACGTTGGGTAAGCCGCAACTCCCTCCGATAGCGGGCACCCGAGTGGCAGGTGTGGGTGTCTGTCGCCAAATATGGTGGATTGGTGCTCGTGAGGGGTGCTGTGTTAATGGCAACGGCATATTTATTTATTTTATCACCATGTAGTAGGAAAAGGTGGCCTAGCCGGGTAGAAGATGCCCATAAAGGATTTTCCCCACATTTACGAAAAAATAGGTAAGATAAGGTAACAGCCTATAAATGTCCTGCTGGGCAAAGGCCTCCTCTGCAAAGGTATCAGGACATAGTCCACTACGCGACGCCACTGCGGATTGGCGGACTTCAGATATTTTCAAAATATTTTTTTGTTGCAAGTGGCAAGATAATTTGCCACATACTGCCGCCGTATATCTATTGTCAATTTTCGCGCCAGGTAAGATTGCGGTGTGGCGCGCCCGCAACGTGACCGCCTACATCCCCGAGTTCCTTCCTCCGGAACCTGTACCCCTGCCCATCCACGACTCGGTGCCGTCCCTCAGCCGGGAGAGCGTCACCACCGACCTGCTGCAGTTCGAGCCCCCCTCAGCCGCGTCGGAGCACGAGGGGCGCGACGACAACGACTCCTGGCTCCTGCACCGGGAGAAGTTCCTCGAGGAAGCAGAGCAGAAAGAGTGAATGAAATAAATAGTACTAGAACAATTTTGTGCGATTTTTTTTTGAAGGATGTATCCCTCGTTACCTTTGATTACAAATTAAATACTTTTAGGAATGTAAGTTGATAAAACTCCTAACTAATTTTACTCGTCGTGTTATGCGTTCGCACCACATACGTTTTACGAAATTTTGTGTCCTATTCTTCTTCTTCTTCTTTGTTCCCTCACTAATGACGATTGTGACTATATATGTAACCTGTCCCCATTTGCTTCTATCCTGCGTCATTTCAATAGTTTGTCCTATTCTACAAATATGAAAATTGCATAAGTATTATTTTCCTGTGATGGAGTTGTTTCCAGAAAAAAAGAGGAAGGAATCACTGAGGAACGGTAGTTAGATTTCTAATTTTAGTTTGATTTTTTCATACTGTATCATTATTGTTCATTCAACCTTTTCAAAACCAAACTAAAATACTGGTTTTATATTTAAGAAATTTAATAGAATTATTTAATAGATGTAAACTAGTTGAAACATGCAAATTTTTAGATACATTTTTAAACATCATTTTCTACTATTTGGTGAATTTTCATCTAAGAATATCATCTTAAAATAATGCTTCCAAATACTTCAATTAAATAATGAAAGAGAAATACTTCTTTTCATTTTGGATACCGATGTGACTCTTCTGAATTAGGTATAGAAGAAGAGTTCACAAAAATAAAAATCATTATAATTTTGTAGTAATTTTGGATAATTATATAATATTATTTTAACTCATTGGAACCCACAAAAACTAACAAGGTACTAATAAAAGATTTATTAAAAGCTTCTACTTTTAATATTGTTTAAAAACATCAAACATGTCTTGAAAAAGTTTTTTTGATAATTGTTTTGTATTTTCTTTCTCATAACATTACTACTTAATAAAATTAGGCCCTATCTTTTAGATGACTTATAAAAAATGTTAGGTATTTATGTATATTGTGAAAATGAAATACTACAAATATTGTTTAGGTTTTATTTTAATTTATAAGTTACAATTCATTTGTACCTATAAAAGCAATGACATGAATATAATACTTTTAAGAGCCGACTTGGACGCTTACTGTTTTCCAGATAAAATATTACATAAAAAAATTATTTCCTGTGAGAAATTAAAATAAGTGACAGCCGTGTAACTTCTAACAGCTTATGACATAAATGTCATTATTAATAAAATATTGGGCTAACTAATCCTAAAACCTATCTATGTTTGTGGATTTGGTGTTGGGTTATTATTAGCGTTATTGTTATCAAATGTGTTTTTGTTCTTGAGTAAATATGCTGCTAAATAGTTGATCGGATCCGGTGGTCTTTCTTTGGCCAAAGCTGATAATCCTTGTAATAATATAGGAACAACGGTTTGGTCTAGATACTGGCGTGTAGGCAGTGCATTGAGATCAATTCTGGATTTTCGATTAGCGTTGGTTTCGTTCTCTTTTTCCATTGATATAATTTTCTGAAATAATATTTCAACCTATGATTTCATTCACGAATGTAAACGAATGTAGACTACAACATCGCTAACTTACCTTTACACTTTCTGGTATTTTTGAAGACGGTTGATCGTCTTTAGGGGTTTGACTCGATTGTAGTGAGGTATCTGACATCGGTTGCAGTTATTTAGTAACATACAACTTTGTTATTACCAATTGTAAATAATATGGTAAAACGAAACAAATCTCCACTATAATAGTTTTGACGTAAAATGACAATGACAGAACACAGCTACTAAGACCATAGATACTATAAAATAAATATAATATAGAACACTATCTAAGTGTATCATCTATGACTGACACTCAGTTGCACGGGAGAGTGGGACACCACAGATTACATAAATATTCATATTGCTATAGCCAATACATAAAAAAAAAATAAGTACCATCAATAATTATTGAGATATGAATCTGGGCGAGCTGGTAGCACCGCTCATCTTTTACACCCTTACTCTCAGGTCTACATTACCCTATTTGACAAATTTCTATAGCAACGAGTACATAAAAAAAAACACGGCTTGTTCTTTGTACTGCATCTTAATTATTCCCTCCTGCCGGCTCCCAAAAATCAAATATTATTTATAATTAGCAACCCGCCCTGACTTCGCACGGATGAAATGTATTATACATGATTATACCTATCACCTTCCTCTTGAATCACTCTATATATTAAAAAGCCGCATCCATTGCGTAGTTTTAAAGATCTAAACATACATAGGGACAGACAGACAGCGGAACGAATTTGTTTTATACTATGTAGTGATGCAAAGCAGAGACGTATAAATTTCAAGTGACATTTTACCACAGTCACTCGTTTTGCCTTGCCGGAACCCCTCCTAACTAACGCTTAAACTTTATGGTATGGTATTATATATAAGTTCAATTTGACTAGGCCAATGTATAACTATTGTAGGTTAATATTTAACGTTGTCAATAAAGGTATCATTAAACTTGTTATAAATGTGTTGTTGTGGTCGGGTCACTGGGGAAGTACCATAGTCTCAGAGGAAACCAGAGTGAAGTAGAACAATTATGCTGTTGGTTGGGATTTTCGGTGAATGGGGTAACCAGGGCCTACATTTTTAATAATTTGCAGAGCATCTGCACCCCGTCAGATGTTGTAAATGTTTATGAGCGGAGGTATTCACTTAACATCAGGTGAATCGCGTGCTCACTTGTCCACTTTTTACATAAAAAATAGTAGTCAGTTCTCATTGATGGCACCGATGAATTCATTATAATGTTCTTACTTACGATGTGCTCAGCAAGGTTTAATCCTAAAGTTCCTGTTTTTATATTCTGTGCGGTTCTTTGTTGGTTTGTTAATGCTAGCGTAGTTTTGTTTGTATGCAGTGTTAAAAACAATACTTTATTTTTTATTCCATCTACTTAGTTTGGACCATTTTTATAAATACACCAAAATATTTTTGTTCGAATCTGATATTATTTCTATAATCATAGAGCATCTATGAGTACTTTATACCACTGACTAGTCTAAGGCTGCCCTTTTGTTGGCCCCCTTAGAAATTCCTGCCTTACCGTCTCAATACACTAACCTATTCACGAGCACTAAAACTTTTCGCTGAATGCATAATTGTTTTAGTTTATCAATAGGGTGAGCACCCTTAACGGGATAAACAAACAATGTTTGAATTGATATTTTCTGGTCATTTCTTGTCAAAATAAAACATTAAAATTTTTTTAATTATGCAATGCTCAATTAAAATTATGTCAAAGTATGTATTTCGTGTAAAAAATTACCCTGTATACGAAACTTTTTCTTTTGGAGATGCCTACAGTATTTGTGAAGCCTGCAGTCAAAATTGTTCTAAGGACTCGAACATTAAAAAAAAGGTAACGTGAGTCAGAGAACGCCGCACCCCAGTCTTTTGAAGGACTCGCCATGGTTCATCACCAGTCCGAAGTAGAATGAATCCCAACTCCACCTCAGTGAGAATGGTCAGTCAGCTAGCTCAATATCTCTTTTAGCTATTTGAATGTAAAATACACAAAAACGCGTGTCATACAATAAAGACATAAAAAAAGTAGTTGAGTGGATGGGCAGGATTCACTTTGAGTCACCTGGGAAATAAGAAAGTTGCATTCCGCCTCTCCGGATTCAGGATTCGATATAATTATTGATGATTGCCTGATGAAATTTTAGTGTAATGAGGTTTTATCTTGCATAGATAGATAATAGATAATAAAAACCTTGCCATGTTAACCTATAGAACTAATTTATTTGGCAAGAATAAAATTACATGCCATGGTTGTTTATTTGTTGTGAATATGACAAAGGCCTGTACCAACAAGTAGAAAATAATTTAAAAAGCTAAAAAACCCGACTGCGTTTCTGTGTATTTTTTTTTTATTTTGATATACCCAGTGTCACTCACAGTAAATACGAATCCATCAAGTCGTTCCGGCTTAAGAGCGTTCAAACAGTTATACATACATACTCTTGAAAAACATAACCCTCCTTCTGGCGCAGTCAGGTAATAAATGTACAATAAAGTCAACGAAAGTGGTGCCTTCAGAGCTAGTTACATATTTTTTACTCGGGCTATAGGATCATGGGTTTGATGTAAATTTTCTTGGCGATACGGTATGACGCGCGGCTCAATCGATATGTAAATAAAAGAAAGAAAAAGAAACATTTATCTTACCATTTATTAAAAAAAAAACACTTAATTATTAACAATGAGACTAATTTTACAATGCACACCATATACATTACACACATTTATCACGCTCTACCAGGATTACTGTCGTGATATTTCCTAAATTTTAGTGTGAAGTTTCACTCAAACTGATATAATTACTTATTTGAAGGTAGAAAACCAAGAACTAATATTATTTGATTAGTCAGGTACCTAATTCGCTAACTGTCTATAAATATATATATATATTTGTAGTCACTTGTTTAATAGTTCATTATTACTCATATGCTGAGGACACACAATATAGGAAGTTTACAAGAATGTTTTGTTAAGACAAATGCACTTTTCATTCTATTTACCATATTGGCTTAAAAACACTTTTTTGTTATCGCTAGATATAAAAAAAAAACCCTTTATACATTTTCACCATGGACGTCTTAAGCGTCAATATCGTTTCAATTAAATATTTAATTCGGATAATACCTTAATCATAAATCATAACAAAACAGTAAGAAAGAGACATGAGAATCGTTCTGATACTAACGAATGAATGACGTTCGTGTATTAAAAAGTTTTAGTTAGGATTAAACGACAATTAAGTGACAATTTAAAGTTTCGGTTCAAAAGAGGGTGTAGAGCGATAACAGTATTGATTTACCACATCAATATTTATTATTAGTACATCAGAAACTCGGTGGAGATGAAATTCTAAAACGATACATAGATAAAGTCGTAAGGTCTATTATTATTAATTGGTAGAGTTAGGTTAGGTACTAAGTGCGAAGGTAGTGCGGTGGCGGCGGGGGCGGGGGCGCGGGGCGAAGTCTCGGCGCTCGTTCCAGCTGTCTCCTCCAGGCAGCCATAGCCTCGCTGAGCGCCCAGAGTTCAGACAACAGCGAGAGGTCGAGCTGTCGCAGACTGGCCTGGAATGGCGAGAGGAGGTAAGTTATTATCTCGTAGATCGAAATTCAAATTTGAAAACTGTGGTAGGACCAAGCAGCAGTCTGAGCTGTTGCGCGAATGGACAGCCCCGTTCGATAAGTATCAACACCTCATAGAAGCCTTCTTCTGCCTCGAAACGAATCTGGTAAGAGGGCCCACTTTATTGATATTTCTAATGATATTTTTTTACTTTATTGATATTTCTGTTGTCCATCGGCGCCGGTTATCACTTAACACCGGGTGAACTGGCATCTTCTCACATAAAAAAAATACTTTGTCTCTAAATGTAGTGATTGAAAACAGACGGAAATAACAATATGATTTAATTTGTCTTTCTTTGCAAGTAGATTCATTGGCGGTAGTAATAAGTGTTCAGAGGTCAGGCTATAGTAAGCTTCGTGTTATATTTTGATTGACTATATTTTAATTAGTTGAAAATTATTTTTATATTTCCTTTTCCTTGATGTATTATTATTATTTACAGAAATAGCGAAGATATGTTGGTACGATCGTCGGCGAAATGATTTGTAGTCGTGTTCTGTATTATGCGTGTGACCTCAGGTGAAGCTCGAATGGAGTATAACAGGTGATATTCTTATTCCATTAGCAAGACGTGCCGCGGCTTCTGGCTGTATAATTCAATTTAAAACGCAGCTCAAACTGGATGAGATTACAAATAAGCTACGACACAACAAACCTATTCATAGAGATAATTATAAAAGTATATGTTTAATAATTTATGCGCAATATTCTATAGCGCAAGTACTTTTATAGTGGTAGGGCCACGCAGCAGTCTTCGCTGTTGCACGAATGGGCAGGCCCGTCCGGGGAAGTGCCACGACCTCACAGAAGACCGTCGCGAAGTGGATGTGTTATGCTTCTGCGTTTTGTGTCCGAAGGGTGCGTGAATTAATGGGAGCCGACATTATTGAAAGTTGGCAAACATTTGTAACCGTACAGGTGTTGCAAATGTCCGTGGGTGGCGGTTATCACTTAGCATCCGGTGAACCGCCAGTTCGCTTGAAATCTTCTTACTTAAAAAAAAAAACTTAAAACGCTTTCATCTTGCTTTTGCGTCGAGTGGACGTTATGTTGGGCGACCTTAGGTTAATCTGTTCTGTTAAAAATCTAATTCTGTTTGAATTTTTAAGAGATACAGTGATCTGTTAGAAATTTTTAACCTTCTTGACCACTTGTTTTTTAAGACCTAGCGTTAGTGTTCTTGATTCTGAATTTAGTGTCCCAGACCGCTATGAAGATTTCGCAATTTTTAATTTATAGTTAGAATTAGACAAATAAAGATAGAAATTAAATGCATGATTGAATTTACTTACTGTGCAAAAGTAGGGAAATGTCGTAGAAATATATATCTACTCTAATGGTTTGTATGTTTGCCGTTTTAAAATAGTTGCTAAGGCTTTTGTTAAGCATAAAGACTAGGTCAAGGAGCGGTATTGAAGGCATGTCTCGTCATGCGTGGAATTGCCTCAAGAAGTATCGTTTAACGGGCATTTTTAAGGCGATAAATTAGCTTCAGTTTAATTCGATTTTGTCATTATTTTAAAATACATGTTTTGATGTATCATTGATAATATAATCGTTACAAAAGAAAAAAAACACATAGACGCACATACGTTACAAGTTACGTTTTATTAACAAAAAAACAAAGCCGACTTCAAATATTTCATTCACTTGAAGTTTTCTATTTAATTTAGAGGAGTTCCTTAATGCATCTCCGGAATGCAAGGTCCGGTACCAATGAAATTAATGTGACCTGAACTAAACCGAATACAAGGCAGAAAGAGTTTTCAAAATCGCTTTATAAATGACGGACTTGTGACAAACATAAAAGAACATACAAACGAATTGAGAACCTCCTTCTTTTAAGTCGGTCGAAAATACTACCATTAACTATGGGACCACGCACCAGTATTCTATGCCCTGGACTATGCTCTGACACCCTCTGCATAGAGGAGGCCTTTGCCCAGCAGTGGGACATGTATAGGCTGTTACTTTACTTTACCAGTATTCGCTGTTGCATGAACGGGTAGGCCCTGGGAATTATCAAGACGTCACAGAAGACCCGGGTGAAGTAGAAGTGCTATACTTTGCGTTTCGTCTGGCGAGAGAGGTGGCCGGGGTCCACTTTATTGATTTTAAAAGGTGGCAACGCATCTACAACTCTACGGGTGTTGCTAATGTCAATGGGCGGCGTTTATCACTTGACATCAGGTGAAACGCCTTTCGCTTGCCACCTTCTCAGATATAAAACATTACACTATACTGAATGTCACTGCGCCACCCTGTCATGATACGCGATAAGTATTCACGGTGATAAAAGTATAGTATAATAGGCAATCAAATATCTCACGTTTAAGATAGATTATCGTATTGACGATTCAGCTCGCCAATTGGTTGCCGTATCTATCAAGTGGTGTATCGTATAGCATACGTCGCGGTTCGGTTCGGTCCATGATTTGTATACCAAGCGACAACCGGGCGACCTTCCGAGGCATTCACCGATTGCGTTAGGAATGCGGCGTTCGATAATTCTCTAACGACGTGGGACGGCTGCGGTGGGATATGCGGACTGTATAATGGCATTGCACCTGTCACAATCGAGTGAACAGTTGCTAAGCGGAGTTGGTTTTAAGCGACTACGGGAGAATAAGTCGGTGATCGAGTATCCGATACGGCATAGTTTGCGAAAAATAACTAACTTAAAAATAAGTAACTTCTTAACTTCGAAATACGGATAGGGCAACGCGCGTAGTTGTTTAAAACAATAATCTTTATAAAGTGCAATCATAGCCTTTATAAATGCCACAATAGAACAGTGTTTTACCATTTAATTTATTTAGCGTGTTTCATTTAACAAAAACCACATGACCTCATGATATAGAAATTTCAGATTATTTTTTATTGATTTTCAAAGTAATAATTATTACAACGATAATTTAGTAGTTATTTCTCTCAGTGTTCGTACTGAGCAAAGAATAACTGTTATGATTGGATTACGGTAAACGTTATTGGAAAGAAGACATGAAAGCCATATACGGACGCACGCCTAGTATTCCGAGTTTTTAATTTTCATTGTTTTCGAGCAACATTTGTTATTTCACCATTGTAAAGGCATGGCGTATTATATGCGCGTTTTCAAATATTTCAGCTTAGAGTAAACATCACTGCATAGTATAAAACAAAGTCGTCCCGCTGTCTGCCTGTCCCTATATATGCTTAGATCTTTAAAACTACGCAACGGATTTTAATGCGGCTTTCTTTAATAAATAGAGTGATTCTAGAGAAAGGTTTATATGTATAATTCATGCATACTGTAGTAGAGAAACATTTATAATTTTGGAGGTTTCTAATGCGATATCAAAAACAAACATTCAGCAGTGCACCCGTGCCAAGCCTGGGCGGGTCGCTAGTTCATCATAATATAAAGCTGAATTTTCATTTTTCATAACGTAAGGAAATAACGTGTGTTTCGGTCAGTTTCCCTCTCATTTTTGAACCGTTGCGCTTACAGCTTACGGGCAACGGTAGCCAGTCGATTTTCAAAGCCAATATAGAGCATATTCGAAATGAAGAAAACACATATTGAATCTTTCATTCGCGTTTTATGAGCATTGCACGTATTGTGGCGGCTGTAAAAAGGTAGCATAAAATTTGTGGCCGCTCGAAGGCACGGCGTTTTATATTTTTCTAAAACGTGCGATACGATTAGCAAGGTGGTCACCGTGAAAACTTAATAGAAAGAAAATCTTTCTCTGATTTTGGTTACCTTGCAAATCATATCGCCATAAGTTTTAATGAAATATTAAAATAAAGCACACAAAAAATTTAAGGACACTTAAACATAAACAATGTAGACAGTTTTACTTCTAAAGGACTTTATTAACTTTACAAATATATTTTTGAACTGAGAAAAGTACACGACGCCCTTATGGAATTCAGAAGAAATTTCGAGAAACCACTGTAAATTTTTGGTTTAAGAATGACGCAATAGCTTAAGATGTTTTACATACGAGTGTCCTAAATAACGTGCATAAAACACGAGGTGTACACGAAAGGTAAACGGCCTAATCGGTACAGTGGGCAAGCGGATCGACGGAGCGAGACATTCCCACAAGTATCTGTCCTTACCATTTGTGTATGTGTTCAGCTCTACCAAATTCGTCTCGAAATTATAGACATAGACGGTACCACGTAAGGCGTGCACACAGGATGTAATCTTTCACCGAGTTTATTAACTGATATAGCCAAAATGTTTCACGTTCTTCGGCGGCTTCAAAACAACTCGCTATCCATGCTCAATCTCGCTCAGGATCTTATGCATTTAGAATATAAACTCTATTTGACAATAAACTGGTATTTGCTTAGTTAAAGTACATAATTGCCGAGTCGAAATTATTCAGTATCAGTGACGGGACCTCTACGGGACGTTGCATTGGGGGGAGGGGGGACTGATTCTTTTCCTGCGAAGTATATAAGAGTTATGTTGGTGTTTTAACCTTTAAAACCCTAAAGTACCCTCAATACCATAAGAGGGGCTTCAGGATCTCCGGAAAGCATCGGTGCCCCTTTGCACTGCATGTGAGAACATCCTGGGACGGAATTACTCAATACCCCCAATGCTTTGCGGTAATATGACACTTCGTATTGCCACCCCTATCAAGCTCAAGGTTCCCAAGTAAACGAACAGGACTCAATCCAAACATCCGTAAATCCACCTATATTTAGTTTTATGTTATAAAAAATGATTGCAAATTCAATCGAATAAACTGATAAGAAAGCGAATTCATAGAATACGAAATAAAACCTTTTGAAATGTTGATCCCTAGTATCCCATTGGGATGCCGGATTAGAAAAGTAATTCCTTCCTTCTTTAATTTTTATATGGACAGAGTTGTGTCAACCAATGAACTCTTAGCTCGTTTAGTTAAGTTCAATCCCTTAGCTGGAATGTGTCCTCTAT